AACCTGTTGTTTTGGATACTCCCACCTTTATTGCAGTAATGAGAATTTAAGAGGCCGCTTAACTGGAAAACGAGCCATGTGACCTTAACGTTTACATCCCATGGATACGAATAAATGGTTAACAAGTGAAGGAAATGTTTGCTGAGCACACGAATACAAACATACTTTAAAAATTGTATATCTCAGGATTTAGTTACATTACATTATGTTACATGTCACTTGTCAGACGCTTTTATCCAAAGCGACTTCCATACTTATTACTGTGGGCAATCCCCACAGGAGCAATTTGGGGTGAAGTGTCTTGCCCACACAACGACATGCTGACTGCAGTGGGGTTTTGAACCTGTGACCCCCTGATCCTAACACCAATGCACAACCCACTGCACCACACGATTTTAGTTCCTAATGGTTGGAGAAAACAGCACCATGTTTTTATTTAGGGATCACATTTCATGACTTTTTACTTTCAAAAGGCTAACCAAATCGAGAAGTAGAAATCAGGTGGTTTCACACACATAGAGATTTGCTATGATCACTGTTTTTATTCATGTCTTTCAGAGAATATCTCAGGTTGTTACCAGTTTATTTGCAACTGTTCAAACGTGTTTCTGTGTGCACTGCAGGCCTCTGAGGAAGATGGCCGTAGGGATGATTTTTGCAGCGTTGGCCTTCGGAGTGGCCACTCTGGTGGAGATCGACGTTGTGGTGCGTATGAGCAGCAATCATTAATCCAGCCTGTTGTTTTAGAAACCAAATACATTACTTCCCTACACAAATATGATATTATTATGCATGCGTGCACACCTAGTCAGAAAACATAAAAATAACTGCACAGAGACTATAACTCAACATCCTGGAAAACCTGGCATTTTTTTAAACAAGACAATAGAGGCAAAAATTGTATTTCAGGAACTGGTCGGTCAATTTTAAGATTTTGGGCTATGCTGGTTCCAAACATGTATTTCTTAAGACACCTAAAAACACCTAAAATACATATTACGGTGTTTATTTTACTGACAATGTTTATGTGTGTGATAAATGCCTTATTTGCATATTTAAATAATTCAGAAAAACACTTATTTAAATATATTATAATATTTAAATCAAAGAAGATTATTAAAAAAATATATATTCATATTTGTTGTCTTTTTTTTTGTAGGACTGTTGATCATATTTTATTGATTACACTTTTTGATCTTCTTCTCCTCTGTCTGGTAGAAATCGGTGGTGGATCCTGCTCCGGCGGGGAAGTGTCTCCTGCAGGTGTTTAACCTGGCGGAGGGTGATGTGAGTCTGATGATCCCCGGCAGCGATCTGTTCAAAGAGCCGATCCCAAACCTCCAGGTAATAAACTCATTCTTCTTCTGCATTGCACACAAATGTCAGACTCATGGGAGGGAGTGCTGATCTGTGCAGGCTTTATCCCTCTTTTCACTCGCTAATATCAACTCTATCTAAACAGGAAATACCTCACTGCGACAAAAAAAAGTTTTGTTTTTGCTGAAAAAAATTACATTCTAGACTTTGTACATCTTTATCAAGACCATGGCTACATGTTTGACTTCATTTTCAGAAACATGAGATATGAGCAGTGGTGGAAGAATAACTCCTAACCCCTTTTATTCAAGTGAAAATGGCAATACCTTTTACTTAATAGGTCAAATCTTAATGTCTCTGTTTCAGGACCCTGCTCAATACGAGACACTTCCTGCATCCGGAGAGGATCTGCAGTTTCAAGTCACCTTCAACGGGAACACCTCCGAGTGTAATCATACGTTCCTTCAACGAGAGGCGTACAGTCTCATCCTGTACCCAGACGCTGCTGGAATACAGTGCAATGTGGTGAGTGAAAGAAAACTCCTTCTCTAAATATCTGACAACACAAAAAGCAGAGGGGATCAAAGCAAACTGATGTGTGCATATGGTGTATATAATCGTGTGTGTCAGTGGCGTAGCTGTGGGTGGGCCCGGGTGGACCTGGCCCCACCCACATGCACGTCTGGCCCACCCACAGCCAATCAGCTGTACAGCCATAGCGCAGAGCCGGTGGGCCCAGAAGGAAGTGCCACAAACTGCAGTTCCTCTAGTGGCCAACACGGGATGGATGCAGAAAGGATCCATCCCCATAGACCCCCATGTTAAAATGCCCAACTTTACAGCAGAAATAAACATGTTTCTAGCCTGGATCCAATAAAACGTATTCTGGATATAGTTAGATTCCACCTTCATGACAATGGAATAGGGAGTGCATTTTTTTACCGTGAGTAAATTAGTAAGTAAAGTAAGTTTTGCCGTGAGTGAATGAAAGTCTTATTTCTTCTTGAGGTCTGCAGTGAAGCGTGTACACATTTGCTGAATATGAAAAGACTCTCAGTGTGTGCCCACTGTGCGACTGTCAAGGATAAACAACCTGTGGCCGCCGAGCCAGTCATGCGGATGTCAGTTTTACACACATTCTGAGGCCGCCGCGCCATGCTTTTGTTTTCACTGCTAGTTTATGCTTAAGTTTAATTAGTGCATTAACATGTAATGTAATAATGTAATGTAATTTAAAAATAAATGAAATCATTAATTAAGTTTCAGCTCAGACCCCACGCTTAATAAGTCTCCCCCTGGCCCACCTACATTTCTCCAGGCCCGCACCCACACAATAATTCCTGGCTACGCCACTGGTGTGTGTGTCTTGTGATCGGAAAAGTGTGTGTGTGAGACCGAGATATACAGTAGATGGCATATAGCTTATCTGGGATACAGTTATACCATCAATTTTGTTTTTCCATTTGTGAGTACAGGAAGAGAGAAGGAACAAAAGAAAGAGAGATGGAGAGAAAGAAAATATAAATAATAATATAAATAATAATCATATACAAAATCAATAAATTGTAACCTTAAAAAATAAATAAGTAATCAGTATTATAACAATAAATATAATTTAAAAAATCTGCGACTATTTAAAAGTATCTTTCAATAGTATTCAATATTCATTACCGAAAAAGCAACATTTTAAGTTTTCGTCCTAACTGTGTATTTTACCGATGGGTTGCTGATATGTATGTATAAGAGGGTATAAGACTGTAAAGCCAAAATATTTGCCAGGATTTTTATTTAAGAAAATTCAATAATAAATGCAGCGAATACAAATTGATGTAATTGAGAGAAACCGCTTCTCTTTCAGGTCAGTGACTACATAAAGAAAAATGATAATGGGAAACCCCTCCTCAGGTAAAACATGTTTAATCTTTGAAGTTATAGACTCACCTTTCACTGATCTTAAAGTAAATGCATCCCTTAACTCTCTTAAATAATAAAGGAAGTTTTCTCATGATTTCTTGTTTTTCTAACAACAGGTTCCTGAACACGCAGCCGGAGGCGATCAACACAACTATTGGAGAAGTGTCTTTCTATCTGCCCTCGGATTACAGCATGTCTCTAAATGAGACTGTGGATCGGGGAGAGTGAGTAGAAATTACTCTGGACTCGTCTAAATTAGTAAAACGGCTAAATCTAGCTTCTATACATTTACACTTAATAGCTTATTTTTATCTTATCGTTTACGTTTTCCAGCCTACAATATGTATTTCTTTGGCTCACTAAAACTGCTTCATTTTGGCAGCTGATTTCAGATTAAATAAACTCTACATACACTACTAGACTGACCAGTACAAATGGTGACAAGCTGGTGAAGTCAAAAGTCAAAGTCAACTTTAATGTCAATTTTTCTGTGTGTTTGTGCAGACCGAGAGATCGAAATAACGTTTCCAACAATCCCGAATACAAAATACAATAATACAAATATACAAATATGTATAAAATATGTGTATCCTATATATATATATATATATATATATATACAATGAACAGACATACTTTATTAGCATTTAGCTGCTGAAAGCCAGGTATTTTTTCAAAGAGTTTTTGGGAGACCAAAACAGAGCCAAAAGTCAATATGTGGAGATAAATACAATTCTTAAGTAATTTATTTTAAATGAAAATCCCTGATACATGATAAGATCTTTAATAAGATCATGCCTAGATTATGATGAAGCTGAATATTTTCCACCTTCATGCACCTCCTTCCTCCTGTTAGATATCCGGCCGTCAGCTGCAGCTCAACTTCAGGGAAATGCTCAGAACTGAACCTCGGCCTGCTGGACTTTGGAGCTTCCTACACCGTCATACTCATGGAGGTCAGACAGTATACTGTATATCCAGATCTAAATACTCATACAACATGGCATTTAAAGGTCCCCTATTATACTGTTTTTCATCAATATATTATAGGTCTCAGATATATGCAAAACATGTCTCTGAAGTGTTTGGCTCCAAACACCAAACAGATCATTGCAGCATCCCATAATCCCCTCTGTTTCAGCCCTGTTTCAAAAGAGCTGATTCTCTGTCTGTTACTTTAGATGAAAATAAGGAGCCACTCCCCACGCCCCTCTGAGAGATATTTGGTTAAAAAGAACACAATAAGCGCGTTCACACCGGAGTACTTTTCCCCCGTACTTTTCCCGTTTAGTTCCGTTAGTACCCCTGATGTTGCGTTCACACCAAAAAGAGTACTTAGTGCCAGGAACTTTTACCCCCATTTTCAGTGCCTGCTAGAGAGGTGGTACCAAAAAAGTACCAAAAAAGTACCAATTTCTATTGGCTGGGCGAATTGCAAACCACGCCCCCGTAAAAAAAAAGCTGCTGGGAGTCCCAGTACTCCGGTGTGAACGCGATTGGTACTTAGTGCCCTGGGGTAATAAGTGCCGGCACTAAGTACGGCAAAGTACTTTGTGAAAGGTGCTCTAGGAGGAGATTCAGGTGATAAGGTGGGGGGGGGGGGTTACCTTGGTTGCTGATTGGCTAATGGTTACACAAGCCAAAACATCGTTATGACATCATAAAGTGGCCAAAATCTGATCAGCTCATTTTCAGACAGATTTTTAATATAAATGGATCAGGACAAAAAGAGAGAGAATCTTTTTTCCTGAAACTTTCAGAATCTCTTTCCACAGAGGGGACACATGTTGATGTAGAAAAGACATGGAGAAGTGGATTTTGGATAATAGGTGACCTTTTGTGTGTGTTTTGTCAGGCATCAGGTCAAATTGTGGCTCACAGGATGGAGGATGTGAAAGCTAACAGCGTGCACATCGCCTGGCAGATCCCTCAGTACGTCCTCCTCACCATAGGAGAGGTCATGTTCTCCATCACTGGCCTGGAGTTCTCCTACTCTCAGGCTCCGGCCAACATGAAGTCTGTGCTGCAGGCCGGCTGGCTGCTCACCGTGGCGTTCGGAAACGTGATCGTGCTGATCGTGGCCGAGGGAGCGGGACTGGACCAGGTAGGACGATATGGGAAATTGTGGGCAGGGTTACTTTAGAAATGTATACCATTATTTACTAGTAACGTGTAAAAACATATGTCATTTTGTAGGTTTTGGGCCATTTTGCTTCCATGACATGTCTTTTTTCACACTAGCACACTTTCACACAAAGAAAATACACATTTAGTTGTTACTTTATTAAATGTGTATATTTGTGCTTGAGGATTTCTCCTAAATTCACCAGAAGCAGCATTAGATTCTGCCTCATTTGCAAATGTAAACATAATATTTTGGGAAAATTACCATCTGGAAGAGTTGAAGTGTCTTCCAAAATAATTTGTACAATAAATATATCTAAAGGCCATTTTTCTCTTTCCTCTTTTAATACTGTCAACAGTATATTTGAGTTATGGAGTGATACAGAGTTATCCGCACTTCCCTCTTTAAAAACGTTTGACTTTTTGACTGAACAAGAATGTGTTGAACCTGGTTTTATCTATAAGATAATGGGGATGTATGCAAACAAGCACATATTGAATTAATTATCCACATATTGAAATACATTACAGAACATTTTAATACAAATAATCTTTGCCTTAAAATGGACCTATCATGCTATATTTGAGTAATATAGTGTAGGACCATACCTATATAAGGCATATTTATACTTTTTTTTTTTCAAAATACCAAACAGATCATGCATTTTAGCCATGCCTCATTTCGCTCAATTTGAAATTGTTTAGCTCTGTTTTTGCAAGGGCTGATTCTGTGAGAACAGCACCATCTACAGGCCTGGCATATGTACTACAGCGTCTCCAGCGCTTTCGAACGGCAATGGCCGTGGCTGTCTCCTCCTGATTGGTGGAGTTGGCCCAATAGCCGTAGCGCCACTGTCCTGACGTCAGGACAGTGTTCAAATCTGGATCAGTTTTTATCAAATCCGTTGCAGACCCTTTTTTAGAGATTTGGGTATGGAGGAAAATAGAGAGGGTTGTGTTTTCTGACACTTGGTGAGTTCCCTGGAACACCGGGGACACATATTCATGTATAAAAGACGTACAAAAGTGCATTTTGCATGATAGGTCACCTATCATGCAAAATGCACTTTTGTACGTCTTTTATACATGAGCTGATACAGATTTGAAATTGTTCTGACGTCAGAAACAGGGAGCTCCGCCTATATGGGCAACTCTCCACCTATCAGGGGAATGGGGGGTTGGGCCACGGCCACGGCCATTGCCGCTCGAAAGCGCTGGAGACGCTGTAGTACATATGCCAGGCCTGTAAGTGGCGCTGTAGTCTGCCACAAAAGCAGAAAAGAAGACTTCTCACAGAATCAGCCCTTGCAAAAACAGGGCTGGAAAAGAGCAAATAGAGCGAAATGAGGCATGGCTAAAATGCATGATCTGTTTGGTATTTTGAAAAAAAAACTTCACAGACATGTTTTATATAGGTATGGCCCTACAATATATTATTCAAATATAGCATGATAGGTCCACTTTAATATAAGTTATCAACTTAGTACGTTTGATTGTGATATATATATAAGTTCAAATATCTTCCCTGATTACCTGTAGTGTATCCCTTTTAAATTAAATGTTCCTAAAAGTTATTTTTTAATGCTGTGAGATTCTGATGATCAGGCAAGAGGTTATAACTCATATTTATACAGTAATCCCCATATTTCTCATAATATTATACTGTAGCATTATATTCTGTAAAACACATTTTTATCATTTTATCTTACATAAAACACACATTTAAAGCACATTACAGGCATTATTTATTGCTCTCTCTCTCAGGTCACACACTAACCAGTATTCTTCTCTCAGTGGAAAGAGTTCCTGCTGTTTGCCGGGCTGCTGCTGGGCGTCTGCATCATCTTCTCCATCATGGCGAACTTCTACACCTACGTTGACCCCGATCAGCTGGACAAGACTCGCATGGAGGACTCAGGGAGGGAGGAAGATGACGATGACGAGGACCACGTGAAGAAGAAGTCTAATGACGTAAAGCTGAACAAAAGAGGAAAGAGCACCAGATTGTAACGGTGCTGCTTTACAAACTCCAACTTTTACCTGTAGCTGATTTCAAAACGATGGATGATTTATGTGAACGTTTTTATCTGTTATATTTTTTTATTTTAAGGTACTTTTTTGTCTGGTAATGAAGATGTGATCGTTGAACATTTATTGTGTTTAGAAAGTAATGTATTCGTTTGTCACAACATATAAAATATTGTGTCAAACGTTTTTTTTTTAACATCCAGTCACTTAAAAATGTTTAACAGGAAAGTATTTTCATGAAATAGTGTTTTAAAGAGGAGAAGTCCTGTGTGATTTCCCGCACCGTGATCAATAGTGTTATTATAAATGAATGTCAAATATTATGTTTATATTTGTTGCGTATCGCTCCATGAAGCTAAATAATAATATTCTTTAACAGAGGTTCAGTTTACATTGTGTGTTTGTAGCAATGATATTTAAAGGACCATTGCACCTGGTGGTTTTGCATGTTTAGAGGCCTTTCATTTAAAATGCAGTCAGTAACCTTAGTGTTGATGTGCTGCCATATAAGTCAGAAACAATCTTAAATCATGATTATGTTTAACTTTAATGCGTCAAAATCATCATACATTTTCCTTTTGCCTCTATCACTGATTAGATTTTCTGAAACAAAGCTCATCAGTGCCAAATATGAGATGTGACAGCATAATTTTAACACATTAAGGAAGTTCCTAGCTACTTGCACTAACACATTACAATATTTTTCATTAAAAAAAACATGCAAAACCAACAGTATTGTCCTTAGAAAGACAAAAAAACATGTGATTTAATTTTGTTTCACTCTGGGAATTGTTAATTATGCTGCTCCCTATACAAGTCTGTAAATATAATGTGATGCTAATGCTTTCTTTGCCTTTTGAAATGTTAAAGATTAAAATGTGCATTGTACATTTGAATACAATTTTGTACTGCAAGAAATAACCTGCTCATATTATTTGTGTTTCACTGAATATTGGAAACACAATGCATTATCACTCTCGTACATGTGCATCCTTTCTCTCTGAGATGTGAGACCTGTGTGTATTCAAAACATCCTTACACATCTTTCATCAATCATAAAACCATTACGATCGTCCTTCTGTCGCTGTTCAATGTCAATTTTCTTTAGAAAGTGACAGGAAAACGTTATGCAGAAAACAGATGTTCATATCTTGGCAATATTCAATCGAATGATGTGGTTTTATTAGCATACTAAATTGATTCAAGTGGCCATTTCTCTTGCTTTAGGAGAACCAATGCAAATGCTAAAACGGGATTAGTTTGTGCAGGACAACAACACCAGGAAGTGATCTGGCGTCCCTCTTCACATCATGATCAGTTTGTCTGTGACATTTCACATCCGGAGGTTAATCTCAAGGACCTTGACAGATGAGAGGAGAATCACTCTCCCCTTCCTCCCTCTTCGCTCACCTTTTTTTCTCACACCAGAGAATTAGCTACCGGAAGCTTGGAGGGTGACATTTTGCAGCCAGCCACAGATCTTTCCGTTTTTTGACAGCTTTCCACCCTGCAACTCCAATGAGGCTTCCATCGAAGAAAAAAACTGCCTTATCATGAAATATGCACATATAATACAAATAATAACAAACATTTTTAGGGCACCTTTCAAAACACGAATAAATAAAATATTACTGGCATTACAAAACTAAAATGTGTTGCGTAGGAAACCACAGAGGAAAATTACAGTCAAAGGAGCAATACAAGTAAGTAATAACACAGTGTCAGACTTTCTGACTATATCATATATTTTATATCATTACTTGTCATTTTTTATTATTTTTGTATTCGTGGTTGTAAAGTATTAGACACTGAACAACAGAGAAGGTTTTATGTATAATAGTAGCACTATACTATACTGACAAATGATATCTTATCCTTTCATTATCTGTTCTGTAGGAAGGAGGAATAACAACCGAGTAGGTCCAGCGTCCGTTGGCCCAAAAGAGACTTTTCCCATTGAGTTACACTGGGAAAAAGACGTCTGTAAATCAGTGTATAATTTATTTCTAGCTAAAAAACTACCCAGCAAGAACACTTTTATAGACCTTATTTAATATGAGTGTAAAATGTTGTTAAAGCAACTCATCAAAGTGCCTGAAAAGACAAAATCAGGGGAAAAAACTTACAACGATTCTGATTGGCTCCCATCTTCTATCATGACTCAAAGCGCATGCGCCGATACGGGGCGGTTTTATGTTTGGGTTTGAAATCAGCCGTGTTTTCCAACGTTCATTTGAATTATCTAATTTCGTAGTGTGATCAAATATATATCTAATCACGAACATGTGTTGGAGGCGAAGTCTACGGCTGGTTTACGTTTGATAACGGTAAGTTTTGTCCGCATTTTCTACTTAGCTAATAGCTACTTAGCTACTTAGCTGGGTTAGCATAGCAGAAATATCATTCAAATCACGTTCAAATAGCTAACCTCAACGTAACTTCAGCAAACGTTAGAACAACAACATATTTCTGAGTTCTGCTCCGCAAAAAGTTCTCAGAGTTGGATTTTCCTCAAAGTTACGATTGCTTTGTGTTCAGATTGAAAGATAGTGTTGTGTTGATGTCAATGAACGTTGAACAAACTATGAGCTTAACCCCAAAATGGGCGTTGATATTTGTTAGCTTTATTTGCATTGCCAAAATATAAGTTGTAAATGTAATTATGCATGTGGAAACGTTTTTTTGTAGTTAATGTGCGGCTTAGGGGAGACAGGAGGAGACGGATGTGATGACCCTCATACTGTAGGTAGGAGCTCAGTAAGAAAACTTAGATCTGCACCAGGAAAACAGCAGACACCTTTTACATGTGCTGTTGCATTTATTGAATAATGTAGTTTTGGAGGTATAAAAGTATGTTTTACGTGAAGTGTAATGTGTGATACTGTCCTCCTGACTGTTTGAATGAATTGATCCAAACTCACTTTGTTTGAATACTTAATTTGTTGACTTTTCAGTGACATGAAAATCACGTGTTAAAATGTTTGTGTAGCTAGAACATGGTGTTATGTCAAGGCTAGATAGACCATACATACAAAAGAAAGAAAGAAGAAAAACAAGTTATTTTGCAGAGATTTAAAGGGTATTCAAACCGAATACAAATTGATATTTCTTTTTTGAAGATGCAGAAGTGATAGTGAGGTAAATAATCAGGATAGTTCACCCAAAACCTCGAAAATCAGTTATAAAATAGTTGCAGGTTTGTACAATAAATAATGCAATTGTATAAATAAATAAAACTATAATATTATTGTAAAACAATACATGTTTGAAGAATACTATACTCATTGAGACAAAAAGTATTAAATAGTGAAATATAGAGTATTTTAAATATGTTGCAACCATCCCTGATGCAAATGTCCCCAGGTTGGGTCAGTCGCAACATATTGTGGACAATATATCATAATGTATTTATCTTTAAATGCTATTGGTAATTAGCATAAGTTGGTCTGACCAAATAGTCTCTGAGTAACTAGGAGAAATGCAAAAAGTGTTGCATCTCTCCCCTACTTAATCCTACAAAAATCCACCATCAAACCAACATTATTAACATTACATGCTACTGTGTGCTGAACGATCATGAACATAAGCTAACCATTTTGTTGTCTTTCAGGTTATTTATTTCACTCGGACATCTGTACATTTGATATAGCTAGTGATGTTGCCTATGAGGACAATGGCCTCTTTAAAGCCGTCCAAGCTGACTTCAGCTAATGTTACGGCATCAAAGATCAAACACAAGATCCTCAGTGAGTCTGTAATTCATTTTATACACATTAACATTTATATACTACAAGTTGTATCTCATTTAGAACATATTTTGAATTAATATTGTGATGCTTCGTCCCCAGACACCTCCTCCTTCTTCAAGGTCTCTTTGAAGACCAACAACAAGGCCTTAGCTGTTGCTTTGCAGGTCCAGAAGGAGAGGAGCCGGGAGCTGGAGATGGACATTGTGCACTATCAGAAACAGGTGGAGGCACTCTGCTTCGAGCTGGCCACCAAGAAATACAAGCAAAGGAAACTGGTTTGTTTAATTGCCTTAATTGGGCAGGTGGCAATAACTTCTTACATACAATTAGTCATAACGCACCGACTGTGTCCTAAGTGTTCTGTTTGATATGATGATTAATTATATGGACTGCGATTCATCTTGGTTTTTGTCTCCCAGGTCCTCATCTTGGACACCCTCCGTAGCAACTTGGACATGGTGGATGAGCTGTTCTCTGATGGCGTAAGGATTCCTCTGAATACGTTTAATAAAACAGCTGTGTTGTCTGCCAGTGATAAGTACAATATTTATCTCCTATAACTATGGCAGTAGGGCTGCACGATTTGGGGAAATAATCTAATTGCGATTTTTCTGACAGATATTGCGATTCGATTTGCGATATTTATTTTTAAGCGACCCAGCGGAAGTTTATTGAAAAATGCGGCCATATCTCCGGCTAGGAAGGTCGTATCAACGTGCCCCCGTCTCTAGCACCCCCGCAGCCCGAGCTACGAGTGAAAGAACTAAACTTACATGAAACTTCCGTTGGGTTGCTTTAAAGTCAAGCTTCAGTTTAAGATTCACCCTGTAATAGATGTAAAACATGTGATGGAGCATTACTAACCTGACTCTTACCTCATTCACACCAACGGTGTTTCAGAGCTGGAGCTTGAAAAGCACCGGGTTTTCCTGTTCACACCGCAGCGGAGCAGCCTCTTAGCTCCGGAATCCGGTTCGTTTCAAGCACCAAAAAATTGTCCGGCTAGAGCAAAAGCACCGCATACGTCACGCTTACGTCGAGGCGGGGGCAGGGGAGGGATCAACTCCTGAACAACAACAAAAAGCCCGCGTTTTATCCAGTTTGTACACAACGATGGAGAAACTTAACAAGCAGCAGTGGTCCACTGAAGAGACCAGCTACCTACTGGGAATCTGGTCTTCTGAAGAGGTACTACCAAAACGAGTAGCGCTTCAACACAATCGGCCATTGTTGTTGTTGTTGTCGGTGTGTGAGGGGTTTCCGCGCGGTTTGGCTTTATGAAGCAGGCACGCAAACGGTTACGTCATGACTCAAACGATGACGCAATGACGCAGCACCAGTCGGACTCTGGGCGGTGTGAAAAGAGCCGGAGCTAAACCGAAGAACCGGTTCTGAACCTGAAAAGCTCTAGCACGGAGCTTGAACCGGAGTTGCGTTGGTGTGAATGAGGTGTCAGATGGTTCGTTTCACCAAATCATCTAGGAAAGCTCCATTGGAAGCCATTTGGAAAAGTATTTCAAAAATACTTGACAGGTGATTGGATCAATCTGTCTATCACCTACTATCATGACAATGACTGGTACATGTGGAGCACAGCACTTCTGATTGGTGTGGATGACTGCGATTTGATAATTACATAATTTCAAATCGCGATTTCGATTTAAAATCGATTAATCGTTCAGCCTTATTTTGCAGTGTGTTGTTTTAAACCAGAGTGAACTGGATATCTTTTTAGTCAGGCACAGACATGGCGCTTGATTTTCCTTTTGCTTATTTTCATTGGTCATATTTCGGCATGGATTCTTAAAAGTCAAACTGCTATCTAACATAATTCCTACAATGATAAGATTGAACTTTAGATGTGATAATCCTTGCAATTGTCAAACTTTACCACTCAAAATCTTTGATTGTTACTGTATTTAAATCCCCACAGGATAAAGTTCCTGAGGACAACAAGACCTTATCTTTTGGCATCAACAACGAGAATCTTTTAGTGGAAAGGTGAGCAAATGCAGTATTCAGATTAGTAAATACTTTGAAATAAATGTCTTTTTAAGGTGGCTTTGAATGACATCTGCTATTTCTTTCTCTTTGTCTCGCTCTCCACCCCCCTAACCCCAATTTTTAGTCCTACAGATGAGCAGCCACCTCAGCCAGAAATGGCACAGCCTATGTTGTGTCCCTTCCAAAAAGAACCAGCGGATTTACCTGAAAAAAACACAATTTCAAACGTCGCTAATATCCTGAACAGACCCAGAAAGTCCACAGATGCTTTCAATGGTACGGAGCTTAAGATTTTGTGTTGTTTCTGATTTCAAATCACCATTTAATGCCCTGATATACTGATGAAAATTCCCTGGAAATAAGTAATTTATAAATGTTTCATAACTTATTTTCCATAGATATAAGAGATCCAGAGAAAAGGCGTTCAAGCCAGCTTGTACAGATTCCCCAGAGAGGAAAATCCCGTCCGTCCAGCAGCCTGAGGGAAGAAGTAGAGAGGCTGTCAATCATGTTCTCACAACCTGGGATTGATATGAAGTCAATCCCCTGTTTACAAAAAACCCAACCCCCCTCAGCTGTAAGCACATGTGAAAAACCCAACCCATCTCTTCCTGATGACGTTCCCCTTGAACAAGATTCCAAACAAGAGAAGACTGTGCTTCTGAATACAACAATGGATATGACGGTGAGTAATTCTACGGAGATAGTCGTTGTGGAAACCAAGGCTAAGAGAAAAGCCCGCTTTGGAAAGACAAAAGCCAAGAAGGATAAGGAACAAGCCTTTGTGTCAAGTGTGGCAGAAAATCCTCAAGTGAAGATCTCAGCAGATTTGAAGCGGAGTGAAGTTCAGAGTTCTCCCACTGGAACTTTGTTACAAACAGAAGGTCCTGCACTCCATGATGTAATAAAACCACTTCATATTGAGCTACCGTTACCCAAAACACTGGGTGGGAGTGGCAATACCTCGCGCATTCCCAAACTGAACAAGTTTGAACACGGAAATCATAATAAAATGGGAAAGGACAAACAGAAATCCCGTGACCATGAGTCAAAAACAGATTCAAATGGAATTGGCGTATCGGATCTGGATGATTATTTCACAGATCCTGATTTTGAAAACTCAAAAGCCTGCAAAAGTGTACCAGAAAAGGACACAGCTGAAATAGAAAGAAGGTCCAGAGTCACATGCAGGAGGTCTAGGGTTAAAAACAGGAGCGGCTCCTCGGCCAACAGGAAAACATTTGTGGCTTTTCCTCTGCTCCCGTGTGAAAGTGAGAGCAATCAGTCCACATTGCAACAGGCTCACATAGAAGTTGAAGAAGTAGAACGTCATGGAAAATATGAAGCATGCAACGAGCAAGAACCACCTGAGGAGTTCCCGTTTTGTGCAGATGAAGTCACCCAATCAGAGTTCTCTGAACCGCAGTGCAAAATGAAGAGAATAACTCGGCGACCGAAATGCAGAGGGACATTCGTGGTCTCAGTGGCCAGGGAAAGTATCTTCTCTATCGGAGCGTCACCAGAAGTCAGTGCCCTAGAGCAGGACTTAATGCCTTCTACTGAAACCTCCACTTGTGGGACGGAAGAACCGGCAACAGTCATGGATGCCGGCGTTGATCTAAATCATTCAGAATCAAACCAGCACAGCGAAGGAGACCTTATCAAGGAAACGCCAAGCTCCTGTAAGCGTCCATGGCGGGCCACTATGGACAGAGAAGCCCTTCAAGAGGATTTCAGTTGCAATGATGAGATTGAGGTACTGGCACTGGACCAAGAGCGTACTTCAGCATCACAGGTTCAGATATCTAAAAAAGCCAGGAGAGAGCGAAAGAGTACATCTACTAAGAAGAAAGTTCAAAGGGAAAAGCGTGTGGATCATTTAAGTAACAGAAAGAAGAAAGACAAAAGAATTAGCTTTCAAAATGAAGTGTGTTATCTTGAGGACGGCGGGGATGCCTCACATCACCGTGGCGATGGCGTTCCTGAGAGAAACGAGGAACAACTAGACGATTTACAAATGGCAGACTTGCATTCTCACATAATCGAGGAGGATGACAGCTTTAGCGATTTATTTGATTCAAAGTCCGGGATGGCACAGAATCCTAAGTGGTGTAGAAAGACATCCACGGCGGCACACAGATCCACAGGAGGCAGAAAGCCAAAGGAGACATTGGTCGTCTACAGGCGGAAAACTCAAGACATTGTTACATTAAAGAACAAGAGAACCACTCATGTGTTAAACAATCTGGACACCAGGGAGGAGGCGGTTCTCCGGGATGTGGGAAACGGGCTGATAGACGAGATGCCGCCATGGATGGACCTCGATGACTCCGAGATCGACTCTTTACTGGCTACTCCCAGGAGGAAGACATCTGTCCGAGCGGCACTGATCAAAGAGTCTCCTGTTGTCACTGCTAAACCCTCTCCAGGTAACCATTGTTTTCTCTCTTTGTTGTGTGCTAAAATTGTTTTTATCTAGTGTAGTAAAGAAGTGAAATGACATTGATTGGTCGTACAATTGCAACCTGTTCAACATCAACACCGTTATGGATGTAAAGATGTATGGAGTGTAAACGATTGCAAGAACATGGTTATTAGTAATAGATGGATAGATACTTTATTCAGCTCAAATTGGGAAATTCAGGCATTAACATATTTAAAAGGTGGAATATAGTACAAACTTAATACAATTTTTAACACGTGTATTTCGGTTTATTCAAGGCATTCATTTAGTTATTCTACAGTATTGTTGTTTTATAGTTATTTGCTAATGTATATAACCCAATTTATGTTCTTTGAAATTGAAAAGGATATTGTGTTTGTTACTTTCGTTGCAGTTGTAGCCTATATGTCTTGGCTTCCTATTTTGTATGGACAATGCTTTTATTTTGAAGGCGAGTTAGCGCTGTTGACAGGAAGTTGTTGTTGCTATGGAAACAACGTGACGGAGAAAAGTAATATCTACATATAAAGACGGAGAAAGTAAACGATAAAGTTTATGGTTAAGTGTTAGCACCCCCCGAAGAGGCACAAGCTCTTACGTTGATATTGGAGATTTCAATAAATTCAATTTGGCAGCCGCAGTGCAGCGCGACTGCAAAAAAAAAAAAAATATCCGAATAACGAAATTGAAAACCGGATAGTGGGCTAACAACTGAATATTCGGATATTCAGGTACAGCCCTGGAATCAACCAGGATTAAAAGGATGGTTTTAAATCAGTGGGCTTTTATGAGGTTTTTATCCATTAAGTTAATGTATTACTTACTCTACATCGTATGAGGATAAAAGCAATATGTTCTGTGAGCATCAGAAAAACTTATTTTATACCCACCCTCAGAAGTACATTGCTTTGACCTTATGCTGTTTCTGGCATCTACTGCACTGACCGTAGAAGCGTATACAAGTTCCTCACACAACCCCACTTCAAAAAATGTACTTAAAGGTAGGGTAGGTAATTCACTTCAGAAACACTTTTTGTTATATTCCATGGGATGCTCTTAACATCCCGATAGCAATGAATACATGAAATGCTTTGACAATAAATACATTAAAAAAATTCATCTGTGGAAGCCGTGGCGCTGTAAAAAGCACGACCAATCATCTGAGCCGGCCCGGCTAAAATAACTGGATGGCCTACCTGCCTGTCAGCCTTCCATCTGTGCACAAACTTATCTCGTGCCCTCATTGGTCATGTGCGCGTTCGTGTGTGTTGGAGGAGGGGCTCTGTAAGGAAGTCTGAAGGAAGAGGCAGATTTTTTTCGGCTCCGTACTGTGGAGGAAACTTCTGTGTAGTAATGCATGGAGTCACCGACTCAGGAAGGAGACACGGTGAGAGTTGGAGCTTTGATGTCAAACACTGATGGGTTTATTCAGAGTATTCGGCCGGAGGATTCACATCACAAATCAAAGAGTCAGAGGTTCTGAACACACGGTAGAGTTGCCACGTCAATTCTGAAGAACCTCTCTCTATGTTAGACCTTTTAACGGGTTCACAGAGAGAAATCAACATCTCTGAAGGAGTAGACTAAACACTGAATCATCTGCGTCCGACGCTCATGGCCTCAAGGATTTCACATCCTAGAGCCCACAAACACCGATAAAGAAGTGCCTCAGTGTTCTCACAACAATTACCCTTCGTGCCAGTCAAGTTGACCGGTCACACACTGGTGACAACAACACATATGGCACCAAGGCCTTTCCTTAAAGGAGATAACACATGTCAGAGTAAAAGGTTAGATATCTAGAAGAATTATTCCTTAACACGTACTTTCAAATTCTAGCGCACTCAAGCTGGTTTCTCCGTTCTTACCTACCCTACCTTTTAAGATTCAATTTTGTTCAATTAAAAAAAAAAAAAAAAAGGTAACTTAACTGTGATTTATTGTGCTGCAGCAGGGAGAGTCTTAACGTCACTAACCAACACCATCGCCACTCCAGACAATGAAAATGGAGGAAGGAGCCGGAGAGCTAAAGGTGTCGTCAGCTACAAGGAGCCGACCATCAACGGGTGAGGAGCCTCCACCCGTCGAGAGGAATCAGCGTAGATAAAACCAGAAAAACAGCAGCCAGTAATTATGTGTATTTCTTTCTTCTTTCAACAGCAAAATGAGGCGTGGCGACAAATTCACCGACTGCACGTTTCGGAGTTCTCCGGTGTTCAAGGAGAACAACAAGAAGCCTTCGAAGAAGAAGACCAAACCCAAGTTGGAGAAATCTGTTTTGCTGGTGGACTGATTCTACTCTTTAATTAATTTGTTTACCTTGTTTACATTTTGAATTGTTGTTTTTTTTATTCAGCTTAATAAATACTTTATTAATCAATCTTTTTTGTGTTTGCTTGAAACCATATTTTGTAGATTAGACTGGACAGACGTGTGATCTGTGTGAAAACATTGAATGTAAACACTTACTTCCATCAGTGGTGTAATTTTTTTTAATTTAATCGTTTATTTGGCAGGGACAATGCACAGTAATGAACACTTAAAAACATTAAAATGTGTCAAGCGTAACAGTGCCAGATTTAGCTTTGAGCTCATTTCCATCCGCAGTCCCTCACATGAAACATTTAAGAAGTTACATTTGACAAACATAGCAAAAACGAAATACATGATATGCAAAAGAGCAAGAGCAGCATACACAAGTATTTAAGACATGGTAATACAATAGCAGCAACGACATATAAAAAGCAAGATTGCACGTCTGTTTGTTTCTCAACCATTCTTTGAGTTGACCTTTGAAGCTATTGAGAGTGGGACAATCCCGTGTCTCAGTTGGGAGGCTGTTCCACAATGAGCTCCCGTAAGAAGTACTCAGATCCTGTACGCAAGTAAAAGTAGCAATACTAAATTTTAAAAGTAGTTTTTCACCTGCATTCAAGCATTTTACCAAAGCAAAAGTATAAAAGTATTAGCATCAGAACATAAGTTGGGGTACGTAATTTATTTCAGAAACCCTTTTTGTTATATTCCATGGAATGCTCTTAACATCCCGATAGCAATGAATATATGAAATGCTTTTTTACTGCAAAAACATGTCATCTGTGGAAGCCGTGGCGCTGTAAAAAGCACGACCAATCATCTGAGCCGGCCCGGCTAAAATAACTGGATGGCCTACCTGCCTGTCAGCCTTCCATCTCGTGCACAAACTTATCTCGTGCCCTCATTGGTCATGTGCGCGTTCGTGTGTGTTGGAGGAGGGGCTCTGTAAGGAAGTGGCAGATTTTTTCTGGCTGTGTATTTTCAAAGCGCACTCGAGCTGGTTTCTCCAAAATTACCTACCCTACCTAAATACCAAAAGTCAAAGTACTCCTCATGCTTAGTGGCCCATTTCAGAATCACTAGAGTTACTGTGTTACTATTATGTTTTTATCACAACTGGTAAAGGTGGAGCTAATTTGAATAATTGTATATACTGCAGCTGATATTAACCTAAACATATATTTAAAAATGTATTTAATAATTGATTTAGACTTTGTGTTAGCTAATAATCTAAACAAAAAAAGTAACTAAAGCTGTAAAATAAATGTGATGGAGTAAAAAGTACGATATTGGCTACTAAAATGTAGTGGAGGAGAAGTATAGAGTAGCATAAACTGAGAATACTCAGTGAAAGTACAGTACCTCAAAATTGTACTTAACCCTTGTGCCCTCCTCGGGCATTTTTGTACATTTTTCCTGACTTTCTTTTTTGATTTGGTGTTCATTTCAGCTGTGTTACAGCTTTTGGCATGGATTTTTGCAAGAAGTCTTCTTTTGAGTCAAATTTTTGAAATCCAATGTCGTTTACTCTTACATGTTTTGTATACTCTCGTGATGCATTTTGCACCCTCTGGACCCCTTCGTGGCAAAAATGTACACGCTCATAGAAACTGCTATTAAATCATCATACATCAATATTTTATTAAACTTTTTTTTCCATGAATCACTTGAACAACTTCTAACGTGCTCAAAACTACCAAACATCCAATAGTTTTCAGGATGTTAACCCTTTAAATGCCTGTTTCATTATTTGAATTATTTAATTTCTCTTAAAAAAAAAACACAAAAAATGAATTTTTTTCAATATAATAATTAGTAGAGGGATGGAACTTTGGTGGTTATTAGAGTCTTGGATGTGTCAAAGATTAGCAACAAAATTGATTTGACTGCATTATTAATTTTTACGTAGTGTCAGATACTACCTTTGGACCCCTTCGTGGCAAAAATGTACACGCCCATAATAACTTCTATTAAATCATCATACATCAATATATTTTTCTACTTTTTTTTCATGAATCACATAAACAACTTCTAACATACTCCAAACTACCAAACATTCAATCATTGGCAGGATTTTAACCCATTAAATGCCTGTTTCATTATTTTAATTATTTCATTTATCTCAAAAATGCCTCATTGACTTCCATTCAGACCACATTTGTTGATCTCACTGCCATTGCAGTATAAAACCATGCATTTTGTAATGTCAGCATTTCATTTAGAAGAAAAATAGTGATATTTGATATTTCTACTCTATTCCAACAGATTACACAAGTTTCCGTGTAGGCCGATGCATTACATTCTTACATTTTTGCCAGTTATATTATGGAGCCGTGTGACTACCAGGGGGCCCCGAGAGTGGTGTGTGTGTGTGTGTGTGTATGTATGTATATGTATGTGTGTGCGTGTGCGTGTGTGTGTGTGTGTGTATATGTGCGTGTGTGTATGTGTGTGTCTGTGTGTGTGTGTGTGTCATTTCCAGCAGCAGACTAGCAGGTCCTGCAGCATGTGACCTGGTGCTCTCAGGTGATAGAACAACCATTTTTTAGGCCTGTGCACAACCAGCACACACCTCTCCTCCCTCTCCGTGTGTGTGTGTGTGTGTGTGTGTGAGAATCTGTAAGCATGCACAGATCATTTCATGGGAAAAAAAGGCCATCTTTTGAGGGATGTGTTTGATGTGTCTTTGAAGAGCTGCTTGATTACTCAAAAACAAAAAACAACTGTTAGTGTGTTTATGCACCTGGCTGCCAAAGATAAACATGCAGTTTGACCAAGGGCTTATTTCATTAGTGAGCAGAGAAGGAGAAAGACCTGGAGCAAAGAGAAGGAACTCAAATGAAGAAGCTTTTCAGTGCAGAAGAGACTTCAGAAATAATCTTGCAGCCTTCTTCTGCCAGCGAGCTGCAGGACTCATCTGAAGAAGACACAAGGTTCGAGCTGGGGTCTGACACTGAATGCTCTCTGGAGTCCAGCATTTCTTTGAGTTCCTCTGACCCTTCATCTGAAAGTGGAGAGGACACTGAGGGTCCGGCCCACCATCCACCACCACGGGGGGCTTTCTTCTCACAATCTGTGAGGACACCCTGGTTTTCCCCAGCTCCTGGGAGAACGACCTCCGTTCTTCTCTGTCCCCTCACTGTGGGCCGGACCCTCAGTGTCCTCTCCACTTTCAGATGAAGGGTCAGAGGAACTCAAGGGCACAAGGGTTAAAGGTCACCTATCATGCTATTTGTAGGCAATAGCATAGGTCTCAGATATATAAAAATATATAAAAAACATGTCTATGAAGTGTTTTGCTCAAAATACCAAACAGATCACCCATTCTAGCCATGCCTCATATCCCTCTATTTCACTTCCTGTTTCAAAAGTGCTGATTTTGGGAATAAAGCTTTACAAAAAAAAAAGATTGATAAAAAAAGGAGGGGGCTGAGCTCATGCGGGACCCGGCAGCTACTGTCTAAACTAAATACTGCCGTGATGAAACGCCATATCATGGATTATCAAGGATTATTTCTGAAACAGTATGGAGCTCAAAGGCTTTCTCTCTTGCCGGTTATACCACAAGGTGAGTTCCTTTTTACTTCCTGCTTCTTCACACACATGCTCTCCAGTACAGGTTAGCTCTGAGTGTTAGCGATGCTAATGCAAGCACCGACCATATTACGTCCAAAACAGTCGGGCATTGTTTCTGATAGCAACGTTTCTGATAGTGCCGTGGGTCCACATTTCCGATATTACGTCATATCGGATGCAAATCTGGATCAGCTCCGTTGTACCCCCCTTTTTTAGAGATTTGGGTACGGAGGAAAAGAGAGAGGGTTTTGTTTTCTGACGCTGCGTGGGTTGACATCAAAAAGTGCATCAAAAAGTGCATTTTGCATGATAGGTCCCCTTTAAGTAATAAACATGTACTGTGTTATTGTCCAGTGTGTTTCTGCTCATGGTTTAGAGATTGACGGGGGGGTTGGTCATGAATTATTTAACCCCGGTTGTTCACCTGAGACGTCTGCTCCACCTCGCTGTAGAGGCTTGTGTTCCCGCAGAGCTTCACATATTCAGTTCAGCTCGACTGCAGCCCTCTGAGCACCATGTCGACTCATGTGAAGTGAAGGTCTTTTAATGGTGGATCAGAACTCTGTGGTGAGTACAGACGTCAACTTTTCCAAATAAATAAGTCAGTTATCGTCTTGTTTTTCTATGTGTTCTTGCACCGAAGAGATGCGTTCAATTTAAGTTGTTTGGTTTTTTCTATTGGACAGTTGTATTTGTTTGTCTCTCTGTGGGTCCAACAGGGTGTCAGGTTCTGACTGGAAGCAGCTAATTAACCTCTTAGGGTTAGGTTAGGCAAAGATGACATTTGTACAGATACTGGAAAAAGGATGTTTATATTCTTTAATAAATGTATCAGTTTTGGAAAAAAAGACCCAACTGAAAGGTATTACGATATTTATAACAATGTAAACACAATAAACGTCACAGCATTTTATAATGTTGGAAAAGTTATTACATGGTTGGGTGCTGCAAGCCCTCTTTGTCAGTCGAGTCTCATCAAATTAGAAATTAGGAAATTACTGCAAGTAAAACAATATTTAGACGTCTTTCTATTTTTTGAAGGAGTCCTACTTGAAAGGAAAAATGGAGACCAGGCAGCTGAAAAGAGAAGTGGAGGCCCTCATGTGAGTGGATATCAAAAGCTCAGTGTTTGTTAAAAAATACATTTTTAAAATGCCAAATAATTAATTTGTCCATATCCGAACAGTGGTGATTACATCGGGCAGAAACTCAGAGAAAAGTCATTTGATCCGAAAGGGAAGGGGACCTCCACGATGCTGGATGACCTGGTAAAGACATCACCTGTGACTCTGTTTAACTGCATCAGTTTATAGAAAACAGAAAGAAACTGATCATTCTGAAGTGCTTTGTATTTCATTTGTGTGATGCAGGCTCACTATGACCTGGCCATTACTGTTGCCCTGTGGTGGTTGGACAAAGAAGAGGGGCGGGATGTGCTCGACAGAGACATCATGTGAGCTGCTGGTGTATTCATAGTCTAAAGAAAGACTAAAGAGTTGGTGCTGGAAGTACTTGGATCTCTAGCTGTAGTTCAAGTATAATACCACAATGTTAGAGTACTCTGATACAAGTCAAATTCATGCATTCAAAATCTTACTTGAGTAGAAGGTGCAAAAGTGTTAGCAATGGAGCTGGATTTAACTACTCGATAAACCTAATCAGAATCTGCAAACTATAGATATCTTTCCTTTTGGTTTTGGATCTTTACCAGTTTGCCTACAGAATACATCTGTGCTGCTAGGTGCCGCTAAGCAGTGTCAATACTTCTGTTCAAAATCTGAGACTTATTTTAAGTTTTAGTAAAAACAAAACAGAGCCAGATGTAAACAAGGCCTCCTGCTGCAGCTGTGGAAATACTCTGCTGTTCTTATTGTTGTTATTTGTTTAAATGAAACTCTCCTCTGTACCACAGTGGAGCAACAAGCTGCTCAGGAAGCGCTCAGTACCCAAACCGCTTGGAGCGAGAGGCCATGATCCTGTCCTCCTTTGCTGGGATTATCATGGTGAGCTATACCTGAATGCAGCTTTTAAGAAACCCCCATGTTCCAGTAAGGTCAGATACATTCACACTAGAGAAGCCCAAGGAGGGTATATGGGTCCTGCTGGGGTATCTGATTACTCCTCCGTGAGGTTATATCAACTTTCATGTATTTATGTTTTATATGACGGTGCATTTATGATATTACGGAACAGGATACGATCAACATGAGAACATTTTTTTGGGGATGTGACCAAAAGTGATTACAAAAAAATGTGTTCTGATTTTAATCTCAGAATTTTTAGAAAATAGTCGGATTTATGAGAAAAAACAATTCAGATTTTCTGACTTTTTTTCTCAGATTTCTGACTCAAGCATGAGGTTCAGAAATGCTTTGAGTAAATATAAGTATTTTACACAATTTTCAGATTCAAGTCTGTATTCTGAGCAAAAAGTCAGAATTCTGAGAAAATGTGGAGATTAAAATCAGAACATCTCTTTAAACTTTTGGTGACATCCCACATTTTGTTTATCTTGTGGCCCTAATTCTTTTACGTATGATGTTAATACTGCATAGATTGGACATTCCTTTTTGATTTGCTAGCTGCGTTAAACCTTTCCTGCTCTGTCCCGCTCCAGAACCACCTTCCCGTGGAGGAGATCCTGGCTCTGTACCGCTGCAAACCAGCAGCCTCATTCCCCAACCAGCACTCCAAGGTGAAAGCATCCTAACAATTCACACTTGTGTTTAGAAGAAACAGATTTGTACTCATCTGTTTAGCATTATTTTGGTCATTTAGAAATGCTAGTTGTCTGATTTTTTTTTCTAGGGCACACTGGTGTACCCCTTCACTCTGTCCTACCATCCGTTAGCCATGCTCGGATCTTACAAGGCTGTGCACCACTCCAAGAAACACAGTAAGTGTGAAAAATAAACCGCAGTATATTCATCAGGGATGCAAACTCATCAGGTATGAAAAAGGTGACAAGGATCCGAGCCCCCCGACCCCACGGAATATCGGCTTTAAAATGAGGAATAACAGAGGATTTTAGCAGTCAGAACAACTAAAGCAGCAGTTAATAATAACAGAAACGCCAAAGAGTCACATCTAATAGAAATATATTTAAGCATTTATTTTAATTGTGTAGCAGTCAGTTTATAATTTTGGCAGGACTGTTGAGCATTTTGAAAATGTATTTTCATGCCTCTGTGCAAGGCTGTCTTTCTATCTTTATAGCCAGTGGTGTAAAGTAACTAAGTTCATAAACTCAAGTACTATACTTGGGTACAATTTTGAGATACTTGTACTTTATTTAAGTATTTCAATGTTTTGCTACTTTGTTCTTCTTCTCCTCTACAGTTCAGAGGTACATGGTGTACTTTTACTCCACTACATGTATTTAATACCTTTAGTTACTTCACAGATGTGGATGAATGATGTGAAATATAATCAAGTGTTAAATCAGACTTTAGTTCCACCTGGAGTAAATTCACAAGCTACCCTGCAGTATACAAAGTCATTCAAACTAGCTGCACCTTTACCAGCTTTGAGAACACTTTCATGATCAATCATTATAAAACATATCATATATATTATTCTGAAATGGACCAATCTGCACAACGACTACTTTTACTGTTGCTACTTTAACTATATTTTGATGATAATACTTTTCTACTTTTACTTGAGGAACATTTTGAATGCAGGACTTTTACTGTAACAGAGTATTCCTACACTCTGGTACTTCTACTTTTACTCAAGTACAAGATCTGAGTACTTCTACTTTTACTCAAGAACAAGATCTGAGTACTTCTACTTGTACTCAAATACAAGACCTGAGTGGTTCTACTTTTACTCAAGTACAAGATCTGAATGCATGTATGCTAGTTAGCTAGCTCAACGATTCATTAAATAATATTGGGACAGAAACACTTTTCAGTGCACATCACGCTCTGCCGCTCCGACAGGGAGCTCTGCTCTGAACACCCCGTTCTAACCAGCGGTCCAGTCTGTGCCCGCACAGTTAATATTAACGAACGCACCGTAGGTAATGTAGCTGCTGAAGCTAGACCCTCATCCCGGAGCAGCAGAGCCTTATTATACATCCATGAGCAGAGCTGACAGGCAGGAAGACTTGTGCTCGCGCTTCATTATAATATATAAAAAAAGAACACCATGCGTGTCATGATGGCACATCATGCTCGCGGCCGCAGATTACTCCGGGTCCCAGACCCCCCCCATACACCAAAAATATTTTTATTGCAGATCTACATGAATCACACAAACGACCTATTTTGGAATCAAAACGGCGAATTTCGCCGAAAGGTGACAAGTTTGCATCCCTGAATTCATGATACATATTTTCCATTCCTACAGCCAGGAAAGAAATGGGAAATAGAGCATTCATTTTTAGGGCACATTTCAGAATTGAAAAACAATCAATAACATAATTTGAATTTCCTGTTTGAATTGTGCATGTTTCAGATGATGATTTAAAAACCCTAACCTTAACACTGTGAAGAAACAACAAAGACAAACAAACAAAACAGTGTAATGGATCACTGAATACACCTCAGATTTAAAGGTCACCTATCATGCTATTTTTAGGCAATAGCATAGGTCTCAGATATATACAAATATATAAAAAACATGTCTATGAAGTGTTTTGCTCAAAATACCAAACAGATTACCCATTCTAGCCATGCCTCATATCCCTCTATTTCACTTCCTGTTTCAAAAGTGCTGACTTGGGGTAAAAAGCTTTAAAATAAAAAATAATTGATAAAAAAAAAGGAGGGGGCTGAGCTCATGCAGTTAGCTCTGAGTGTTAGCGATGCTAGGCAAGGCAAGGCAAGGCAAGGCAAGTTTATTTATATAGCACCTTTCAACACAAGGTAATTCAAAGTGCTTTACAAAAATGGAAGACATTTTAAAAATGGCATTTAAAATCAGTCATTAAAAAGGAAAGATAATAAATAAACATTAAAAGAAAAAATACATGGATAAAAGTTAAAAGTTACAGTGCAGTTTAAGATGTGAATAGTTCAATTAAAAGCAGCGGCAAAAAGAAAAGTCTTCAGCCTGGATTTAAAAGTAGTAAGAGTTGCAGCGGACCTGCAGGTTTCTGGGAGTTTGTTCCAGATATTCGGAGCATAATAACTGAATGCTGCTTTACCATGTTTAGTTCTGACTCTGGGGACAGAAAGCTGACCAGTCCCTGAAGACCTGAGGGTTCTGGATGGTTCATAATTTAGCAGTAGGTCAGACATGTATTTTGGGCCTAAACCATTCAAAGCTTTATAAACCAGCAACAATATTTTGAAATCTATTCTTTGACACACAGGAAGCCAGTGTAAAGACTTCAGAACAGGAGTGATGTGATCCACTTTCTTAGTGTTAGTGAGGACTCGAGCAGCGGCGTTCTGAATTAGCTGCAGCTTTCTAATAGATTTTTTAGTGAGGCCTGTAAAGACACCATTGCAGTAGTCGAGTCTACTGAAGATAAAAGCATGGACAAGTTTTTCCAAATCCTGCTGTGACATTAGTCCTTTAATCCTAGATATGTTCTTTAGGTGATAGTAGGCTGATTTAGTAACTGTTTTAATGTGACTGTTGAAACTCAGGTCAGAGTCCATGACTACACCTAGATTTCTGGCTTTATCTGTTGTTTTGAACATTGCAGACTGAAGCTCAGCGCTAACTTTTATACGTTCTGCCTTGGCTCCAAAAACCATTACCTCAGTTTTATCTTTGTTTAATTGGAGAAAGTTCTGACACATCCAGTCATTGATTTGTTCAATGCACTTACTCAGTGTTTGAATTGGAGCATAATCTCCTGGTGAAATTGTTACGTAAATTTGTGTGTCATCCGCATAGCTATGGTAACTTATTTTGTTGTTTTTCATTATCTGAGCCAGTGGTAGCATGTAGATGTTAAAGAGAAGAGGCCCCAAGATGGAGCCTTGAGGTACCCCACATGTCATATTTGTCAACTCAGATGTGTATTTACCTATAGAAATAAAGTTTTTTCTGTCCTTTAAGTAGGACTCAAACCAATTTAGAACTGTTGCCGAAAGTCCCACCCAGTTTTCTAGTCGGTCTAGTAGTATGTTGTGGTCAACAGTGTCAAATGCAGCACTGAGATCTAATAATACTAACACTGAAGTTCTGCCACTGTCTGTGTTTAAGTGGATGTCATTGAAGACCTTTACAAGAGCAGTCTCAGTGCTGTGGTTTGGACGAAATCCTGACTGGAACACATCCAAACAGTTATTTAAATGCAAGAAGTTACTCAACTGTTGAAATACTACTTTTTCAATGATTTTACCTAGAAATGGCAGGTTTGATATTGGCCTGTAATTGTTCATTACTGAGGCATCTAGATTATTCTTTTTTAAGAGCGGTTTAATGACTGCAGTTTTCAGGGCCTCTGGAAAAATACCTGAGTGAAGAGATGTGTTTACTATATGAAGTAGATCTGAGGCCATGCAAGGAAAAACATCTTTGAAAAATCCTGTTGGAATAATATCAAGGCAGCAGGAGGAGGATTTCAGAAGTTGAATAATGTCCTCTAAGTTTTTACCATTAATCTGATGGAATTGTGTCATGGTGTTTGAATTGATATTAGGTGGACATAGGAACAAAACATTTGCTGTACCTGATGTAGAGGCACTGACTGCTTGTCTAATTTTCTGAATTTTGTCAGTGAAGAAGGAGGCAAAATCATTGCACGCCCTGGTGGATAGAAATTCAGAGGCTACTGACACTGGGGGGTTAGTTAGTCTGTCGACGGTAGCAAACAAGGCACGTGCGTTGTTTTTGTTTTTGGTAATGATGTCAGAGAAGAAAGACTGTCGTGCGTTTTTCAATTCCAAATTATAAAGGCCAAGTCTCTCTTTATAGATTTCAAAGTGAACCTGGAGATTTGTTTTTCGCCACCTACGTTCAGCTTTTCGACACTCTCTTTTTTCTGTTCTCACGGTCATGGCCTTTCTCCATGGAGATATTTTCTTGCTAATCACTTCCTTTACCTTAGTTGGAGCAATGGTATCTATAACATTTTTAATTTTTGAATTAAAATGATCTACTAGCTCATTTACTGAGATGTTAGCAGGGGAGAGTGTGGATGAGAAATTATGAGTAAACATTTCCCTAGTATTTTCAGTTAAATATCGCTTTGTGGTTACCTCTTTCTGAACATTTTTGTGAACAGAAATAGAGCTCTCAAAGAAAACACAGGAATGATCAGAGAGTGCAACATCAGTCACCACAACCTTTGAGATATTCAGACCCTTTGAGATAATTAAGTCCAGAGTGTGCCCCTTATTGTGCGTGGGCTCCGCCACATGCTGAGTTAGTCCATAGTTATCAAGAACACAAAACAGTTCTTTAGCCCCTCTGTCCTGGGGGTTGTCAACATGGATGTTAAAATCACCAACAATGACTAAACGGTCAAAGTCAATACACACTATAGACAGCAGTTCAGTAAAATCATCAAAAAAGCTTGCACAGTATTTGGGTGGTCTATAGATATTTAGGAACAGAGCTCGAGAGGAGCATTTCAGCTGAAGGGCCACATATTCAAAAGAAGCAAAGTCCCCATAAGATGTCTTCCTGCATTGAATGGAATCATTGAACAAAATAGCAACTCCACCCCCTTTCTTATGCATTCTTTCCTGACTCATAAAACTAAAGTTGGGAGGGGTTGATTCGATAAGAACAGCTGCACTGTTATTTTGTTCAATCCAAGTTTCCGTTAAAAACATAAAATCGAGATTGTGCTCAGTGATAAAATCATTGATTAAAAATGTTTTTCCTGCCAAAGACCTGACATTTAATAAAGCTAGTTTAAGTTTGTTAAATACACTATCAGTAAAACATTTTGTGACAAGCTGTGGCTGACATGGAATCACTGCTAAATTTGATAACCTCACACAAACGTTTGAGCACTTCCTGTTTCTAAGCTGATTTACCGCTCTTAATCTATTACCTATCAACACAGATATCGGCAAAGCTACTGGCAGGCAGGGCCCCGGCATGTGCTGGAAAGAGTTGAGAGTGCCATATGCCCTTGAGCCTGGACCCAGCACATATCAGTAAAAGTTTGTTGCGTTTTGTACACACACATCCTTATCAGGCTTCGGAGACTGCAGATGCTTTCTTGAAGGGATGGGAGGTGGTTGACATAGGCACAGTGATGAAGACGGGGGAGATGGTGCGCGTCTCTGCTTCGGTGATTTTGGTGGGCGTCGTTGAGGGGCGGGGGTAAAGGACATGCTGCCAACCCTGCATCTCGCCTTCATGCGGTCATCGAACTCCAGGGGGGAGGGCGAGGGTGAAAGGGTGAGCGGAGAGTAGAGAGAGCTGGGAGATGAATGAAGAGTATCCTCCAAGGCGTTGACAGGGGGGGGTGACGGGCAGTGGAGACTTCTCCATTTGTGTCATAGGTCTCCCATAATCAGAACATTCCTCAGGCGGGTGCAGTGATACTTCTTCAGGGTTTTCTGCGCAATGTGTTGTGTCTTTCTCCTGTTTTGATTCCTCTTGCCGCTTGTCCTTGGCAGAGGGAACAGATTGCTGACGCAGGCAGTTGAATATGTTAGAGATAAACAATTTCACTCCTGACTTGTTCAGGCAAACTCCATCTGCCTTAAAAAGATGTCTGCGATCCCAGAAAAAGTTAAAATTGTCAATAAAATGGACAGAATGGTCAGTGCAGGCAGCTGAAAGCCACGTGTTCAATGCAAACAGTCTGCTGAATCTCTCCACTCCTCTTCTGACTGGCGGTAGAGGGCCACTGATGAACACCTCCGCATTTAGAGAGCTGACAGTTTCCAACAGACATTTAAAGTCTTCTTTCAGCGCTTCTGACTGTTGTTTCACAACATCATTTGTTCCAATATGTAGTACCACATTCTTCACAGTCGGATGTTCAGCCCCAATATGCAGGATCTTCTCAGCCAAGTCGGAGACCATATCCTTGGGAAAACAGAGTACTTTGGTGTTGTTCTTACTACACAGACCTTTTACATCTCTTACAGCAGAATCACCCACAATCAGAGTTTCAGGCCCAGCCGTTAGCTTTCCCTCTAGCCTTTTACTTTTGGAGTAGCTATTGGTCCTTACCCTGCTGTGTGAAGAGGACGGGTTATCCAGGTCATCAGAAAGAGATCTCCGGTTCTCGGTCAGCGGAGCGTATCTGTTCTGGATTGGCACACTTGGTGGTTTAGGAGGATTGTTTGTAGTTCTCCCTAATGCTAATGTAAACACCGACCATATTACGTCCAAAACAGTCGGGCATTGTTTCTGATAGCATTGTTTCTGATAGCAACGTTTCTGATAGGGCCGTGGGTCCATATTTCAGATATTACGTCATATCGGACGCAAATCTGGATCAGCTCTGTTGTACCCCCGTTTTTAGAGATTTGACATCACAGAGTGCATTTTGCATAATAGGTCCCCTTTAAAGTACAAAAGTAATATTGATACTCATTCTGTTGAAAATTGTACCCTATGAGTTTTAGATTATTACATAATATAGGGTTATTAGATTTGATTGATAAAAAACACTGATCTAAAAAATTGTGTAATTTCAATCCATAAAATGTCTCATAGGTCAAAAGCTGAAACGATGGCTGTCTGAGAGGATGAAGACTAGAGTACCGTCCAAACGAGTGACAGCCCCCTCTTCCTCCTCCTCCTCTTCCTCCTCGTCTCATTCCTTCCTCACTGTGAGTATCCACAGCGTCCTCATCTGATACAAATACCGAATATTTCAGATGAAGACTTGTGTATCACTGTCCAATCAAATATTTAAACAGGAAGTACCTTCACAAGCTGTCATAACTTTCAAGAAATACTGTTGAAAAGGTGCCATATTCTTGTGAGGTATTTGTTTGCAATTGTCTGCATACACAACGGAACATGTTGCAGAATGTATACCATGTCTGTCTTGGAAGAAATACAGTATAATGAATATTTAAACTCATCAAAGGTCTCTACTGCCCCCCTGTGGATCCACACACACACACACACACACACACACACACACACACACACACACACACACACACACACACACACACACACACACACACACACACACACACACACACACACACACACACACACACACACACATTACATTACATGTCACTTGTTTTGATCCAAAGCGACTTACATACTCAATACTGTGGACACAGGAGCAATTTGGGGTGAAGTGTCTTGCCCAGGGACACAATGACATGCTGACTGCAGTGGGGTTTGAACCTGTGCCCCCCTGATCTGAACACCAATGCACGACACGCCTCCACGCACACACACACACACACACACACACACACACACACACACACACACACACACACACACACACACACACACACACACACACACACACACACACACTTATCTAACACCTCTCCTCTCCTCTCAGGATATCAGTGATCGCCCTGAAGAGACAGCTGAGCACTACGAGGGATCACAGGAGTCTCTGCACGACTGAACACTCCTGCTGTCGGTCATTTACTTTATTTCTAATTTCCTCTGAGAAAAAAGTGTTTAAATACCTTAATTTCTCACCTCTGTTCTGTTGTCCTGGACTTTAGTGCTCTCTCCATACTGTCACTCTGAGAAAAACCCTTTTAAATATTGATTGATAAAATGTTTCAGCTTTAGAGGCATTACTTTTACTCGTGATAATTGACATACATTTTCCTTATGATACCTTTTTACCTAAGTAATGCACGACTTTTACTTGTAGTAGACTATTTTACCATCATCATATTAATACTTTACTTACTCATACTTGAATGAATCAGAAGACTTGTTAGTTTAGCATAATAGGATATTTTACATTTATGATATACTTGACATACTTCCTGTTACATATTATATTGGACAGTGATACAGATGTCTCTCTAGCATTACTAAGTCTTTGCATGCTTACATTTCTCAAGTTTTAATGGTGCACCCTAGAGAGTGATACCTTAGGAAATGAGGAAGATTTAAGGGGGATGTATGAACTGCAGCTGAAACCAATTCCCATCATTAAACAATTAATTATAAAAAAAGATACAGCTGGAAAATTACCACGTTATTACAGTCGCTTTGGTAGCCTACATTTCTCACAGAAAAAGTCAATAAAACACAACTCATGCACTGACCTAAAGGCTGGATATTTTGGAGGGTTAATGCATTCAAGAGATCACCATGACATGACAGGGATGCAAACTTGTCACCTTTCGGCGAAATTCGCCGTTTTGAATCCAAAATAGGTCGTTTGTGTGATTCATGTAGATCTGCAATAAAAATATTTTTGGGGTATGGGGGGGGTCTGGGACCCGGAGTAATCTGCGGCCGCGAGCTGTTATGTGCCATCATGACACGCATGGTGTTATTTTTTTATATATTATAATGAAGCGAGAGCTGTGTGCTCGAGTATTCCTGCCTGTCGGCTCTGCTCATGGATGTGTAATAAGGCTCTGCTGCTCCGGGATGAGGGTCTAGCTTCATTAGCTACATTACCTACGGGTGCGTTCGTTAATATTAACTGTGTGGTCCGGAGTCACTGTGGCACAGACTGGACCGCTGGTGAACAGCTGTTAGAACGGGCCGTTCAGGTGTTCAGAACTTCAGAGCAGAGCTCCCTGACCTGAGCGGCAGAGCGTGATGTGCACTGAAAAGTGTTCCTGTCGCAATATTATTTAATGAATCGTTGAGCTAGCTAACTAGCATACATTGTCACTATCTGCTAACGTTAGCTTTAGCCTTCGTTTTCTAATAGTTTTTTTCATAGGCTATAAACGGAGGTAGTATAAGTATAGATCTTGAGTAAAAGTAGAAGTACTCAGATATTGTACTAGAGTAAAAGTAGAAGTACTCAGGTCTTGTACGTAAAAGTAGAAGTACTCAGGTCTTGTACTTGAGTAAAAGTAGAAGTACTCAGATCTTGTACTTGAGTAAAAGTAGAAGTACTCAAATCGTGTACTTGAGTAAAAGTATAAGTACTCAGGTTTGAGTAAAAGTAGAAGTACCAGAGTGGAGGAACAATCCTGCAATCAAAATGTTCCTCAAATAAAAGTACAAAAGTATTATCATCAAAATATAGTTAAAGTAGCGACAGTAAAAGTAGAAGTACTCAGATCTTGTCTTTAGTAAAAGTAGAAGTACCAGAGTGTAGGAATACTCTGTTACAGTAAAAGTACTGCATTCAAAATGTTCCTCAAGTAAAAGTATAAAAGTATTATCATCAAAATATAGTTAAAGTAGCAACAGTAAAAGTAGTCATTGTGCAGATTGGTCCATTTCAGAATAATATATATGATATGTTTTATAATGATTGATCATTAAAGTGTTCTCAAAGCTGGTAAAGGTGCAGCTAGTTTGAATGACTTTGTATACTGCAGGGTAGCTTGTGGATTTACTCCAGGTGGAACTAAAGTCTGATTTAACACTTGATTATATTTCACATCATTCATCCACATCTGTAAAGTAACTAAAGGTATTAAATACATGTAGTGGAGTAAAAGTACACCTTTTACCTCTGAATTGTAGAGGAGAAGAAGAACAAAGTAGCATAACATGTAAATACTTAAGTAAAGTACAAGTATCTCAAAATTGTACCCAAGTATAGTACTTGAGTTTATGAACTTAGTTACTTTACACCACTGGCTATAAAGATAGAAAGACAGCCTTGCACAGAGGCATGAAAATACATTTTCAAAATTATAAACTGACTGCTACACAATTAAAATAAATGCTTTTATATATTTCTATTAGATGTGACTCTTTGGCGTTTCTGTTATTATTAACTGCTTTAGTTCTGACTGCTAAAATCCTCTGTTATTCCTCATTTTAAAGCCGATATTCCGTGGGGTCGGGGGGCTCGGATCCTTGTCACCTTTTTCATACCTGATGAGTTTGCATCCCTGCATGAGCAATAACAATCATTTAGGAAACAGGAAATGTACATAATTGTTTGCAATTAGCTAAAAAGGAAAAACGAGAAAGTGATTTTATGATGTGCACTAATGACTTGACCATGTAGAAGTTACAAATAGTAACAAATAATTTCAATACTGATGTCAGAAATGTAGCCAGGCATTTAAGAACAACTCAAATATTCACATTTGGAGACTTTCAGCTCCAATTGTTTGACATTCCAGGAAAAGGTTACATGCTGTGTTGTTTTGTGATGACCTCTGCATGGAAAGATTGATCCACTTGATGAAGGATTAGCAGATAAAAAGTCTTTCTGATGTGCATATCAATAAAGAGGGCACGTGGGTCAGTAATCTGCCTGGTAGGACTTTTGCAGTGATGATTCAGGCGTTTTCGCTCTATGCCCAGGATCAGGACCTTTGGCAGCGATGCCAGCGCGTTAAACCCCCGCTCATTGAAATAACAGCTGCTCACCCTTTGATTGAGGTTTATATAGAGCGCTCTGCTGCTGCTTAGTGAGACCAACATTTCCCCAAGGTGACTGGCTCCAGGACTCTTTGCAAGATGAGTAGTAAGGTAAGGTTTTCTGGATTTCTGGATTTATAAACCTGGTGTTGTAGCCAGGGCAATGCAGGACATTCTGGATATTAATGCAACCTCTAAAAAATGTCAAAGAGAAACTGTTGTGTAGCTATTTATATCATGATAGGTGCGAGAATACGCTGCTTGCTCACGCGTCAACCTTGCAGGTATGATGAGGATTTGGGTCCGAAACTAACTGTGGCAAAAAGAGAAGGAAGAAGAGTTTTACCTCATCACTTAAAACTGTCTTTGACTTCTTTCAACAGGCTTTATGTTAAAAAAATGTGCATGCAGGAATAAAATAAACCAAAAACGAGGTGTTAGGCTAAAATATATGTTGTTCAAACAGCAGGGAAGTGATTAATAGTGCAACAACTATATATTTAGAATTTAATTATCTTCTTTTGCAGCTATGATTAGGCTCTAGGTGGGAAACTAAGTGTGCAATTAATGTGAAAAGACCCATACTATTAAATCACACAGACTTAAAACACTCTTTGATGCCTTTATTGGCTTTATGTTTGAGAACATCTGCATGCAGACAACACAAATATGCAAAAGACCTTCAATTAAAATGTTCTTGTTCATTCGGTCGGACGTGGATTAATACTGCAACAACTTATATTAAGAATGAAATGTTTTATTTTGCATGAGATAATATATGTATTTTATTCCTGTTTCATAGATGTATGTGCACAATAGCTACAGCTTAGTTTTGGGAATGGAAATCTTGGTTCCTAGGCTTCTCCAACAACAACTTTCTAAGCATAAAAATACATGTTGTCACTAAATGGTGCAATAAAATAGATTTGCAGGAATTGTGGACTGAGTGTGACCTCTCCCTGATTTCTCCCTGATTTCTCTCCTGGACTCAGATCACTTTTTACGAGGACAGGAACTTCCAGGGCCGCTCCCATGAGTGCGACACCGACTGCCCCGACATGCACCCCCACTTCAGCCGCTGCAACTCCATCAAGGTGGAGAGCGGCTGCTGGGTGCTGTACGAGAAGCCCAACTACACCGGGTACCAGTACGTCCTGACCCGGGGCGAGTACCCCGACTACCAGCGCTGGATGGGCTACAATGACACCATCCGCTCCTGCCGTACCTTCTCCTATGTGAGTCAAAATGTCTGCTTTATATAATTTGTTTGAGTGTTTTGACCTGGTAGACAATGAAGAAGGGGAATGAATGGATGTTCCTTTGTGCAAAGAGTTTTCACACACCGTATTTTAAAGTGAATTCATCAAAGGATTCAAAGGCTTTATTGTCATACAGCTACACAACAGTTTTTGCATTGAAAATCAACATAGAGTATACATAACATAAAATTAAGAACATAAAATAGTGCAATAGACAACATGGTGTAATGCATATTCTTTTTATCAGAGATCAACTTGTTATATGTATGTTATTTCGTTTTTTTCATTGTTTAAAAAGTCCCTAAATGTGTGTTTTGTTCAGTTTATGTGACTTATTTTGTGTGCATAATGCAAATTATAATGAATCAATTGCAAATGAAGGTTTTTCGCTCCGAACAAAAGTCTCCGGGACTAAACTAAATGGATGTAACTGGATATATTCTTTTCTGTTATTCCTTTATTTAACAATAATTACAAATATGTAAAGTGTATGAGCTACACTGAAAAAAACAAAAAATGTCTTCTTTAATTAAGACTTTAATGTTATGTCAACAAATCACACTTAATTGTATTAGGTTAGTTGAAAGCTTAAATAAGTTGAAATACAAATATTAGGCTCAACTACAATATTATTACTTGCAACTAACCGAATACAATTAAGTGGCATTTGTTGACATAATACATTTAATTAAAGTCAATGTTTCAGTCTTTTCAGTGCACTTGATTAAATCTACTTAGTTACTTTACTCCACTGCCTGTACACTTCCTGTTTTTAACTTTGTGTTTTTACCTCCCTGTGTTTCCTCCAGGCCAGCGAGGGCCCGTACCGGATGCGGATCTACGAGCGTCCCAACTTCCAGGGTCAGATGATGGAGTTCAGCGACGACTGCGAGTCGGTGCAGGAGAACTTCTGCAGCCACGACATTTACTCCTGCAACGTGATGGAGGGCTACTGGACCCTCTACGAACACCCCAACTACCGCGGCCGGCAGTACTTCATGAGGCCCGGGGAGTACCGCAAGTTCAGCGACTGGGGGGCCACCTGCGCCACCACCGGGTCCTTCCGCAGAATCACAGAGTTTTGATTTAATAATAAAATATATGCATGCTATTGATTTGATTTACATCTAAAAAAAATCCAACTCCTGAAAAAAACATCTATTTGAGGAAATGTCTTTGAACTGTGTGGTAAAATTAGGAGTGGGGTGTTTCATTTGGCATAATGATAAAGAGATTGTTTTGAATAACTAAATAAATTAATCTATTATAAACTGTTTCCTCTGTGCTTTTGTTAATATATATTTTGGTGTCGAGCGACTGGCTCCTAAAAAGCCACTTTGGGTCATTAAACTAACAAAAAGAAATCCATCTTTTGACGTACCAGTATTTCTTATTTTGTTTTCAGTGACACTGACACTTTAGATACACATATTTACTCTTAACTTGTTGCTTATTAGCATGCATATAAGTAGTTTATTGGCTCTTTATTAGTTATTATAAAGCATAAAGCAAGCGTATTAATGCCTGAACATATTCTACAACTACTAGGTTCAAGGTTCAAGGTCCAAGGTTCAAGGTTCAAGGTTCTTTATTTTGTCATACGAACATAGTTACAGTGTAACTGAATGAAAATCTTAGGTCACAGGCTTCTCCAACAGTGCAACACAATAACACAGATACACAGAAAAATAGTGCAAGTAAATAGTAAATAGTAAATAGTAAATAGTAAATAGTAAATACAAAAAGAAAAATAGTTTAAAAAAGTGAAATAGTGCAATAAGAGTCTATATGCAAGTTATTGGAATGATATATTAGATAAGTAGATACATAATTCTAAGTAGCAGATGAATGTTATGGATGTTGTTTCAGCAGTTCAGGTGTTTAACAGTCTTATTGCCTGTGGGATGAAACTGTCCCTGAGTCTGGTGGTTTTAGTCCGGATGCCAGACGGCAGCAGACAGAACAGTTTGTGGCTGGGGTGATGGGGTTCTTTTATAATCCTGAGGGATTTCTTCCTGAGCCGCTGGGAGTAAAGGTCCTCCATGGATGGCAGCTCCGTCCTGGTGATGTTCTCTGCAGTTTTCACCACCCTCTGTAAAGCCTTACGATTGAGGGCGGTGCAGCTGCCGTACCAGGCCGTGATGCAGCCAGTCAGGATACTCTGCCATAAACAAAGAGTTTTACTGCTTATTGACAGTAAATAAATACTTTGCTCAGATGGTGGCACACGAAGAGATATTCTTCTTTAATAACACTTAATACAAATGGTCTATTCTCATGCGCAAAAAAAATCCGCCTTTCTGTATCCGATTATGTTGTAAAGTTAGTTCTGACTAATTTGCTAGTCAACCTGAGTAGGCTTTATCTTTTGGACAATATATTGTGAACTGGACCAAATCTAGAGTCATTTGAAACTGTTACTAACACTTGTAGCTTTAGGTTTTGTTACATATGAATAGACCAAATAATTATTATGAGCATAAAGTGTTGCCTTAGTGTTTCCCACGCTTAATAATTACCACTTCTAATATTTGTATGTAATCATGTATGAGTCTATATTAATATATGCATGACCCTTACATTAATACACTAGAATATACATTTTATATTTATTGTTGTTTTAAATATTTAAGATGAAGTGCTTGTTTGTGATAAATTGAAAATAAGTGTGTTATTTTCCTGTTTTATTTTGTCTGCCAATCACATCCCTTCAGATACAGAAAGCATCATCACTGATCAACAATGGGCGTACTATTAACTCACTCGTCTGTTACTGACAACAGTAGACAACATATTCAAACACTGTTTAAGCTTATTAAAACATATATCTATTTCCCCATGTTTACACATATGTTCAGCTTCTTAACCCTGTATGACTACACTGACAATATCCCATTTAAAACAGACAGAAGATGGGTCAAAGAGCTCAGCGCTGATTGTGTTGCAGCTGTTGCTGGAAGCTGCAGAGTTTCTGTTAACCCTTTATCCCAGCGGACAAACAGGAGACTCCTGTAGGGTCTCTGCTGACTGCAGGACTACAATAACAACACGGGCTAACGTATAAAAACATGGACTCCCTTTGGTGGTCAAAGCACAGAAGGAAGTTTGACCAACATCAGCTGCCATCATGGGAAAGGTTTGTATCCAGATTTACTTTAAAAATAAAGATAGGACTGGCTGATAATTCAATATGATAGTTGATTTTCTTTCAATGGAAGTGAGGCATTTGAGATATTGTGATATACAATTGTGATGTACACATTTATAATAAAAAGCAGGCACTTACTAAAATGTGTTAGAAACTTTGGTGTGAATTAACTGAGGGGATATATATTTTAATATCGTTTTTTGGTTTTGTTTCACTCCAATGCAATTAACAAACACTGTATACATTGATACATACTACTACCGTACTCAATGTGATTCTTTGTTTTTTGCTCCTTCAGATCATCTTCTACGAGGACAGGAACTTTGGAGGCCAGCACCATGAGTGCATGAGCGACTGCTCCGACCTGCACTCCAGGTTCGAGCAGTGCCGCTCCATCAGGGTCGAGAGCGGCATGTTCATGATCTACGACCGCCCGGGCTTCATGGGAACTCAGTTCTACATGAAGAGGGGAGAGTACTCCGACTACATGGGCATGACTGGCATGAATGACTGTGTCAGGTCCTGTCGCATGATCCCCATGGTGAGGCCTCTTGTCAAATAATATACCCTATATTATCAATTCAATTCAATTCAAATAGCTTTATTAGCCAGTATTACCAAAGCTTTGTTCATTGCCACATCTATACATACATATACATTTGGAATGGACTGTTAAGTTCATAAACATTGTGAACAAATGCAGGATTAACTTGTTTTCTTTACAACAAAAACAATATACTTTTTGAACATAAAATAGATGTTATACTAAATTACAGATCAAGAGAATGTTTATGTATAACATTACATTTTTTGAGGTAACATGAAAGTAGCCTTTATTTAGACTCTTTCCTTTAGTTGCATTTGAACAATTACCAAATAATCAGAAATGGTTAAGATGTTTTGTATTACATATGTTTTCATGTAGTAGAGATGATATACAGTAGTAGAAAAATACGGCCAAGGATTCAACTTTGACTTGGACAGAGCCAGGCAAACTGCAATGCCGAGTCTTTATGCTAAGCTAAGCTAACTAGCTGCTCTTGCTATATCATATTTTCTTTTAAATGTATTCATGTTTGGTATCAATCTTCTCATCTATGTCTTGGCAACCAAAATAAGCATGTTTCAGAAAATATCAAACTATTCCTCCGAACAAAACGCTTTAGACAGTATTTAAACAATTTTGAAACCTCTGTAACTTTTGTTGAGATGTGACCATTTTACTTTCCCTCTGCAGCACAACGGCAGCTCCAAGATGAGGCTGTACGAGCATTTCGACATGGGAGGTCAGATGATGGAGCTGACAGACAACTGCCCCAACTTCAATGAGCGTTTCCACATGTCCAACGTCAACTCCTGCAACGTGATGGACGGCCACTGGCTCATGTACGAGCAGCCCAACTACAGGGGACGTCACTACTACATGAGGCCCGGCCAGTACAAGAGCTTCAACGAATGGAGCGGCAACAACTCCAGGATCGGCTCCATCAGGCGTCTCATGGATCTCTAAAGACAGAAACACAGTTCTTGTCAAATGTCTGCTCTTTGCCCTGTTTCACACGCTGAATAAAATGGCGTCAGTGCTCAATTGTATTCAGTTTTTCTCTTGCTCTCTGCGTTTGGAGGGCATGTTTTCCTCTGAGGATGTGAAGGGGTCATGGCCTGACATCCTGACTCTCATCAGAGGCCTGAATAAAATCCTGCAAGCGCTGACACTTACAACCGAGACTCAAGCGTAATCCATTGTAGCGCTTAAAGAAAGTCTGCTTCTCTCAGTGTGCTCTTCTTTGACACTAAATGAAATAATTTAAAAATACATTACAAAAGTGAATCTTGCCTTTAGACAATCTTACCACAAGGTCCATTGATTAGCTGTTAAAACACATCACATGATCATATCACATGATCTCCATCAGCCAATAGTTTGCCCAGTTGTTGTGGAAAAACAGGATCAAACTTTTAACCTTAAGAAATCCTTTTAGTGCTTGGAAAAAATATACCTTTCAAAGTGATTCTTTTCTTGGTGAATGTCTTGTGATATGATCAAAAGCTCCAGAATAGATGTTAAATGAACCTTTTGGAGTGATTGGTTCATCTACATTTGCTTTGACATCTGATTAACTAATACAGAGTATGCTACAAACTAATACAAGGGTATTTCTGGTTCAAATTTTAGATTTAAAACGTTCTGTTAAAGCAGTGTGCCGTTATTGTTTTTGGTGTTTTTATTGGACAGACATTAGCCTGTCCACCAGAGGGCAGTGGTAAAAAGTTGAAATGATATATAACCACAGATCAAACTAACATGCCTTTAAAATAAAACAAACAGAAAATCTCAAATGAAAACAATGTGAGGAATAACATTTGCTCATATAATCATCTTTAGATACAGCTTACAAATGATATGTACTTATAGGGTCATAATAAACAAATACATAGGATCTATAAATAATATTGTTATCTATTAATATTCAATTTCACAACTTATTATTCTTGAAAATAAGAGAAAAAGCGATGTAGTGTGAACTTAAACACTGTTGGTTAAACTTAACTTTGGAGAAAGTATTGATAATAAATTAGCAAAAGATCCAAAGATGTGGAAATATAATCATCGACTTAATCATATAGTCATCGAGTTAATTAGGTGATAAAAAAAGAAAAAATGTGCATACCAATAAATACTCTGATGCAAGAAATCTCTCCATGAGCACCTCTGCATAAACTAGAGGATAAAATACGAATATATATAAAAAATCCACCCATTCAGGACTGTTTCATTTAAAAAACCTCATGCCACAACACGTTACCAAACAGCTCTTACCTGTACAACCATTACTCCTAAATATCTCTTCAGGGTAACACCGTGACAAAAATGACAAAGATTTCTGGCTATTACAATATGAATGACACGTGCAGAGTCTGCGTTTTGCTTTCACTATATATGTGAAAGGTGGGAGTCTTCAAAGAGCTGCACGGATCACACGGTGAAGGCATGGCGCAAGGCAACCGGGGCATCATGGGGAAGGTAAACAGAACACTATAGGAATAGGAAGGGGGAGAGAACACCGTTTTTTACCTATAGGACTGGAAAATGCTTTTATTTTGAATGTCAAGGTTGTTCTTGAGCTTCATAACCGTGTTTTTTCCATTTAAAGTAGGAGAAAGTGAATACATTATGTGAAGTAAAGGCATCCAGTTTTTCCTTTTCAAGCCTTAACCTTCATTACTATGATTCTTTCAAGGTAAAATATGAGGAATCAGATGGAAATATTGTGAGAAAAAGGCTTTTATTGTGAATTTAACAAAGTTCAAACAGGCCTCAAGGCTTTTATTTGAAGTCTTGAGCTTCCTTTCTTTCTTCTTTCAGATGAAATAAGGAGAAAGTGGGTTAAAACATGTGAGGAACATGCTTATATTGTAAAGTAAACTAAATGAAAACAGGCCCCAAGGTTTTTCTTTTTAAGTCTTCAGCTTCATATTAAATCAAGATAGATGGAATTGGAAATACCCAGAACTAAGTTTTACAGCATGATAAGTTACAAATATGTTTAGAAATCTATTTCCAAAACAAAAGCACAATATTTTCCATTTCTAGATCGTCTTCTATGAGGAAAGGAACTTCTGTGGGCGACAGTTTGAGTGCAACCAGGACTGTGCCGAACTGAGGTGCGTTCTCAAACAATGCAGCTCCATCCGAGTGGAGAGCGGCTGCTTCATGATCTACGACCAGCCCAACTTCAGCGGGAACCAGTACTGCCTGAAGAAAGGAGAGTATCCCGACTGTCAACACTGGATGGGCACCGACTCTGTCTTCTCTTGTCGACTCATCTCAATGGTGAGCAAATGTTTTGGGGGATTTCTAACACAAACCAGGTTTATATTGAGCTATATAGTTCTATTAAAATATGGATATTGAGGTGATGTGTAGGAGATTCTCTTCTCCGAATACAAATGTGTGTATTACTTTTTTTCTGGCAGGTTAAAAATGTGCCTTCAGCACTTTGTTTTAGTTGGACTTTTATTGCCAAATGTCATGGCAATCCATCTTAAAGTGTCACTATATTTAAATCCAAATCACAAATGTTAACCTTATGGTGGAGCTAGAGGAAAAGTCACTTTGATACATGAAAGACTGTACTATTTCAGTCTAGACACCAACCAAACCACATTAGTAAGGTCTTTTAGAGAGAGCAAGATCAAGGCTTTCTCTATAAGTAAAACATAACAAGTGTATCCGCCCATTGATTCGAACTCGCTCCAAAATGTAATGGCCCATGCTTTGATCTTCCACAAGGTTCTTCTCACATCTGGGTGTATACAGTCCATTTTAAGATTATTAACGACTCATTGTATTCTTTCTTAATATTTCTTCATATAAAATGGCGTGTTATCATTAAAGATACAATATAGCTGACACAAAGGATAACATTTATTGACATATAAATGTTTTTTTGGTTTCTAAATGTTTCCAATTTAAACTAGGATGCCGGGGCGTTCAGCATGCGCCTGTACCAGAGGATCGAGTTCGGAGGTCAGATGATGGACCTGGCGGACGACTGTCCCAGCGTCCATGAACGCTTTCACTTGAACGACATCTTCTCCTGCAACGTGACCAATGGAAACTGGCTGTTCTACGAGCACCCAGACTTCCAGGGCAGGATGTACCTGATAAGACGCGGAGAGTACATGAGGTTCAGCGAGTGGGGAGGCAGGAGCGCCCGAGTCGGCTCCATCAGACGCATCCTGGACTATTGATCTGCTTTAGAGCATCCAAGAGCTGCATTGACATTTTGGAAATGCTTCATGCTCAGATAAAGACCACCAAAAGGACAATATACGTTATGTGACTCTCACTTGGACCTTTTTCTGTAATATTTTGTCATTCATCTTGAAGGATAAGACAATATCCTAAAAAAACCTTTGAAAAGCACAGACAACAACATTTTCATGACTTGTACTCACCATCGTAATAAAGCATTTGCAAAATGGAGTCTTCATATTCGCTTCAGTTGTGAGCAGGACCTCAAACATTTTAAAACATGGCATTAGTTTCAAGATTCAAGATTCAAAGGCTTTAAGAAGCCTTCAAGTAGTGAGAGTGAAGTACTATGTATTGTACCACAGAAAATACTGTACATTTGCCCATGTCCATTAAAAAACATACTGACATGATGGATTGTACTGACTATCACGTGTCCGCAACATTTTATATCGGTTTAATCCTGCTGATGCTGTACAGTTCACAGTCTATTGTACGGTGGCCCTTTCTGGAGGGAAATAGTGATGAACATGGAGGAAAGAACAATAACTCATCGCACACCAAGAATAATCTATACACAAACAGATTTTTCCCACCCACCCGCACCCCTGATACATCAACGCTGTGAGGGATATATTTAAATGACAATGCTTTATGCTGTGCAATCACACAGCCGCCCTTTCTTTCTTTTTTTATAAAGCACAGTGACTTGGCTGAGGGTCATCATTGACCGCAGTCTGATACCAACATAACCATGGGAAAGGTAAGGAACTATGGTTTTATCCACATTGTATTTTACCCATTACTTTCCATCCAAAGCTCTGCATTAACAAATGAAACTATCGGTGCATGTGCAATTATTGCTTTTTGCAGATCATATTTTACGAGGACAGGAACTTCCAGGGGCGCTCTCATGAGTGCAGCAGCGACAGTGCCGACCTCCACTCGTACTTCAACAGATGCAACTCCATCAGGGTGGATAGCGGCTGCTTCATGATCTATGAGAGGCCCAACTACACGGGAAACCAGTACTACCTGAGGAGAGGAGAGTACTCTGACAACCAGCGTGCCATTGGCCTCAACGACTGTGTCAAGTCTTGCCGTATGATCCCCCAGGTAAGTCAGAAATAAAAAAATATCCCTAATGGACCAATTTTGTAGTCTTTTTTCCATTTGATGTGCTATTTTCTAGCTCTTAAAGGCTTGTAATATGTCAGTAGTGATGTACCTGACTAGTTTGAGAGATCACACCTAAAATATCTCTGGATACCAATGGGATGTATTATAATGCTGCATAGTAACAATGTTTTCCATCCATTCCCAGCACCGTGGCTCCTACAAGATGAGGCTCTACGAACGCTCCGACATGTCCGGTCAGATGCACGAAATGTTGGACGACTGCCCAAACATCCAGGACCGCCTCAGCATGTCCGACTTCAACTCCTGTAACGTGATGGAAGGCCACTGGCTGCTGTACGACCAGCCCAACTACAAGGGCAGGGCGTACTACATGAGGCCCGGGGAGTACAGGAGGTTCAGCGACTGGGGAGGCGTCAGCCCCAGAGTCGGCTCCATCAGAAGAATCAGCGACTTGAACTGAAGTCATGCCTTAATTCAACGCATCTTTCCCCAAGTCTGTGTTTTCCAATAAACTTCAACAGCTTCATAAACATTCATGCCTCTCTTGTGTTTATTAGCCAGTTGTCAGCTGTGGTTTTGTGCTTCATAATTGGTCATTGAATTAGTTGAACACTTTTTTGTAGGATTTCTAAATGCATTTTTTTCTTACAATTGATTGTTCCCAAACGTAGACTGCCATACCAAACAATCCATTAGTTGCCCTCTCCCAATTTGAGCCCCCCAAAACTGGTGGATATACTGGCAGACCATAAACACATGTTTGGTGTTAAAGCTTAAGCTGAATATAGAGAGACGCAGCACACACTGGTATAACAAAATGAGCTGAATATCACAAATGCAATGATTGAGATTAAGACATACACCTCAAACATCATGATGGATTTGGTGAAGAATGACACACATAGACACTGTCTCAAAGTATTATAGAACATAATATTCCAAGCACAATTTATAAATGCACAGCATGAAACCAATTACAACCAAAATCTTAAATGTTTCCAAATAATAATAATGAATTATTCTGATTCTGATTCTGATGATCATAATTGTTATACCGTATAGCTACTGGCACTTTATTATTTCTTAAAATATACTTATAAATTATCAGAAAGATAGGTATTCTGTTAACATTCATAATATTTAGAAAAACTATTACTGACAGTTAAAGAACAATACCTTATGAAAAAGTGTTCTTTCTATACACCAAAGAGAGTTTTGTTACAGTATATATCACCATAAATAATGTCAGTTAATAATATCAAACATTGATTTTAAACAAAAATATCCAAGTAAATAACATTTAAAAAATAAATATGCACGTCGATTTTAAAATGTTCATAACTAATACTGCGTCACAGGTGTGTATTTACTTACGATATGAAACAGAAGATTTTCTACATATCCTCTCTAGTCCCTGCAGTTAGAAATTCAAACAAAATATAACTGGTCATTATCCTTTTAAAAAACATGTACAAATATGGCACCAACAATTCCCCATGACACCATGGAGGATATTTCCGAAAATATATTTATTTTAATATTTACATGATATTAGACAAACAACATCAATACATCCATCTTCATGAAGTAAAAGCATAGTAATCATTTGCTAAATCTGGAGCAATAATGTAAAGGCTACTCATTTTGTAGTTTAATATTATATATAATATTAAAGGGGAAGTATTCGAAAAGTCAGACATGTATGGAATACATCAAGGGAATTGTAGTCCATAGAGTCCAAACTGTCAGATACTTGAAGACACACACACACACGCACACGCACACGCACACACACACACACACACACACACACACACACACACACACACACACACACACACACACACACACACACACACACACACACACACACACACACACACACACACACACATACAGTACAAGAAACTTTTAAAACCTTTGGTTTCAGAGTAGCACAGTCCAACAGCACGGTGTAAACTTACTTATTTGCATACAGTGGGTTTGCTCAGGTAGAACGTTAGGCAGAGCAAATGGCTTCCTGCTCTGTTATGCAACATATTTAATGCGAAAGGGCTGTTCCATGTTGTTCTGCAGCCATTGTCCACTGGACGTGTGGATACCATACTAGTCTTTTCCTTTGTCCATGCATGTCAAAACACCAAACCAGTTAATTATTTATCCTTTTTTCCAAAAACAAATCCATATTTCCGTCCCAATGTTGTGCTCCAACAAAAAGGTAAACATGTGCCAGTAGCCTTCAATTATAGAGAATTTGAATAACAATACTTTGTTTGTCAAGAGGTAGTATAAAAAGCCCTGAAAACATGGGGAATCTCTCCAACGGAGACCATGGGCAAGGTAAGTACTGTTTTTTTCTCTCTGCTTATATTAAATGTACTGCAACGTTTTCTCAGTATGTTTTATGTTTTCTCAACTCTTATTGCTGAAACATTGGCAGCTACTGACACATTTATTCCCCAATAGATTATCTTTTACGAGGACAAAAACTTCCAGGGTCGGAGCTATGAGTGCAGCAACGACTGCACGGACCTTCACTCGTACTTCAGCCGCTGCAACTCCATCAGGGTGGAGAGCGGCTGCTTCATGATCTACGAGCGACCCAACTTCATGGGCCACCAGTACTTCATGAGGAGGGGAGAGTACCCTGACTACCAGAGGTGGATGGGATTCAGTAGCTGTATCCGCTCATGCAGGATGATTCCACAGGTAAGACGACGATTAAAGACGATGGACATTTTGCTTTAAAGTCTGATCATTTCCAAAAGGCACTTGGTTAAAGAAGACTTCATGTCCTTTGTTCCCACAGTATCGAGGCTCCTACAGATTGCGCATCTACGAGAAGCCCGACTTCAGCGGTCACATGATGGAGTTCATGGATGACTGTCCCTGTGTGTCTGACCGTTTCCATCACCGCCATGTGTACTCCAGTAATGTTATGAATGGCTTCTGGATCTTCTATGAGTACCCCAACTACCGAGGCAGACAGTACTTCCTGAGACCTGGGGAATACAGGAGGTACCGCGACTGGTGCGCCACCTGCGCCATCGTTGGCTCCTTCAGGAGGGTCAACGAATTTTAGCCATTTAGCGAAACCTTGCTGTAAATATCAAACACTTTGTTTATTAAAGATGTTGCATTTTTAAATCTCCTTTGTGAATGTGTTTTGATTAGTTTGACAAAGTCTGATGTTGTTGCCTGGGCTTAAAAATAAACAGAGCCTTTCATTAAGACGATAAAAAGGCTGTGTGGTTTGCAGATCTGTAATACATTTGCCGTTACTGTGAACAAAAGGTAATTATTTTTGACATTTTGTATACACCCTAACTACAAGAAACAAGAGGGGTAAGCAGCCATAACTGTACTGCAGCATATAAAATACCCATGAGAGTGAATAATGCTTCATCAACCTTTTCTTCTGTGATACTTGTTATGACTCAATTATCTGCCCGATTTATATATTATCATATAATATATATTATCATATAATACTGAAGGTAAGTGTAATAAGCTAAGGCAATCAGCCTACACCACGACACAAATTAACTCAAATACTATAAATCCTATTTTATGTAAATAATTATTTTACATATTTCTGATTATTTACAACTATTTATTTAATTTACATACAGAACTTTCTTGAAATAGAAATGGGATTTTATATTTTTTAGATAAGTCATGAGTATAGAAAATCAAAAGAAACATCACTGTATGAAGTAGTTATGTGCACTCTACCAAATGTAATGCCATTTAAATTGTTTAAAATACAGTCCTCAAGACTTTTATTTAGATAACATTTATTAATTATTGTTGCACATTGCAGTCCTGCAGAAAAATAAGGTTGCCTGCAATGTCGACAGTAAAATAGTGGACTGTTTAAAACATGTTTTGTATTTAGCAGACATGCAGATGACATTTATGAATCTCAGGGTTATGTAATTGAACAAGTGTCTGAGCCAGTTACTATGGTGCTAAGGTAGCAGCTATTTTGCCTAGCTAAAAAAGCAATGCCGTTGCTTATCCAATTGTTGCTTCGTAGGGTTGAGCACCCTGATCCTAACTGCACAAATTACTCACCCCTAATTAAAAAATCAACACCTAGGAAAGACAGCTCCTGTATCAGGAAGTGGCTTTACATTTGTGCACAGGGAGGAAGTTGTGTCTGACTTAGTGGCAAACAAACCGATTAAACAAATCCTGCAACATGGATAAACGGATGGATAAATAAATAGGATAAACTGCAATAACGGAATAAAACAAACGATTATCTGCTTAAATTGAAGGCAGTTGATCTTACAACTTACCATGGTCCATGGGCATGTGACAAGTATAGTCACAACAGCCTTTTGTGCTCCCTCTACAGCAATTTACAGCAGAAAAAAAGGCAAATACAATGGATAAGTTAACATATTAAATAAAGAGGCAAGCACATGTTAATACAATTTAATATGTATATATAATGAAAATAAGTATCAACATTATAAAAGTATGTAAAGTATATATAGAAATGTGCAAAAACATTCAGAGACATGAACACATTAACAATAATCAACTGTACAAAAGTGTAAGTGCACATGAGCAGTGGTATTCTCATGTGAAAGCACCTGCAGCATCTCACTGTGAGACACCGCCAGAGCTGGGAGAAGTACTCAGATCTTGTACTTGAGTAAAGTAGAATACCAGAGTGTAGGAATACTCTGTTACAGGTAAAAGTCCTGCATTCACAAAGTACTAATTTTCCAGTATGGCCCATATCAGATTTAAAAATACTACATTTCTGTATTATAATCATCATTAATGCATTCATTTCAATGTTCATTTGGTAAAGGTGGGGATTATTTGTATTACTTGCTATACTAATGGGAAGCGTAACCTATAATAATAATGATTTATTGGTTGGTTTATATTCTGTATTATGAAACCTGCAAAGTAGCTAGTAAGTCGTTTTCCAAATTTAATGTAGTGGAGTAAAAACAAAAAAATAGTGCCTCCAAAATGTAGTCAAGTAAAAGTATAAAGTAGCATAATGCAAAAATACTCAAGTGAAGTACAAGTAGCCTACCTCATAATTGTACTTAAGTAAATGTACTTGGTTAAATTCCACCACTGCTCATATGGTCCACAGTGCTCTACAGGGTGTGTGTTGATTGTAAAGTCTGATTGCTGCAGGAAGAAAGCACCTGCAGCTTCTCTCTGTGAGACACCGCGGGGGAAGCAGCTGTCACTGAAGGTGCTGCAAAACAAAGGAGGAAGTGACATGATGTCCAGCAGGGACGACAGCTTGGCCATCATCCACCTGTCTGAAACTCCACAGTGTCCAGAGGGCCTCCAGGACAAAGCTGGCCTTCTTTACCAGTCTGATGAGTCTCTTCAGCCACTAAGAAGCTGCTCCAGCAGGCCACTCAGAAGGCAGAAAGTCAACCTTGTTCCTCTGTCCTGCAGTGACTGAAACCATCCAGCAGTGAGTAAATAAATGTATACATACTTTTTTTAAGTAAGTAAAGGATATGTTAGCTATCCGCTAGGCTAATTTATGCAATGTAAAAGGCCTAAAGCTTATGCTAATAACGTTAGCATGCTCCACATGTAGCTTGATTAGCAACTGACACGTTTTGTATGTGAAGTTAAGATAGTGCTGCACTTTTTTTTCTTCTTCTAATAGTGTGTTGCTAACTGAATTACAGTTTGCTTTCAGCTGTCTGTTTAAAGATAGCTCTGTATTCTTTGTTGTCAGCTTTCCCTTTTTAAGATAATGACTTATATTTTTGTAGTTAGCATGTTTTTAGTCAATTAGCATCACACATATATAAAGCCTTCTGTCTCTACATGAATACGTGAACAGGTAAGACTATGTATTTGTAATAATAATTGTGGATGAGACATTGACTGTAGCAGTATGCCTACACAAATAAATTAGGAAATGAATGCTATGAGCTAATGTTATGAGGTATTGATAGCTCAACTAGCAAAAGGGTTTATTTGATAGTATGGCAAAGATGCAAATTCACACCAGCAAGTACTGGTAGAAGCCAAGCATGCTCTTTACTTGGGAAATACAGTGACTTAAGGCTTGGCTTTTCATTTTTTCAGGTATGCATGACTTTTGCAAGATACATTTGCATAATATAACAGTTAGCATGAATTACGGATTCACCGTGTCAACCAAGGAAGCTTGTTAGTTTTAACTTCACCTGTTAACTCAGGGTTTACTATGCTGTATTGTTCCTCTCCAGCACAACCTTCTCGTCTAATTACGGGTTTCGTTCGTAAATCTAATCGGCTGCTTCACAATAAAATCAGATCGCTGTAATCTAAAGAAACAGAGCATTCTGATTTTACATGAATTTAAAAACGGGTAAGTAAAACACTTTCCTCTTGATATGTATATTTAGAAACGGGCCGTTAGAAATTATTATTGAAGAGACAGAGAGTGTAACTCTATACACACTCTCTCTCTTCAATAATAATTTCTTACACATGAAACATATGCAGCTAGCTTGTGATATGAGATAATGTTAGCTTAGGTAGCTAAATGTTTAATTATGGACAACCAAGTATGGACAACACGCTTGGTGCTTTACTGCTCTTCTGCTGCTTAGAATATCCAAACAGTATTTTTCACCGTGCTTTACATGTGGCACACATGTCATATTCGACTCAGGAATAAACGGATAGATTTTGCGGTAAAAGGTCAAGGTCTCTGTGATGAGACATCTTTTCAATTCTCGTGAAGGCGATATCTCAGGAATGTGATTAAATTGTCCGAAGTTGTGTTCATTTGTTCCAATAAGAGCAGTTTTGAATCCTTTTCAATGTTTTTATTAATGTAAGGTGGCATTTTAACACCATTTTTTTTTAAGTTAAAAAACAGAAATTGTGATCAGCTGAGAGGGAAACCTTTTTGATAATACATAAAAATACAAAGTCAGGATGTTTAATTAATTATACTAACACAATATTTGTACAGTTTCTGGGTTTCTCATAGGTTTGTCACAGATGTGGACTGTTGTCACCTTCGTTCCATCAGTGTTGATCAGACCATATGTGGAGAAGCTTCTGACTGAAAATGGAACACACACAAAGCTCATGCTTATAATAGACAATGCAGATGACGGCTGCCAGAAATGTATGGATGGAGAGCCATTGTTACACTTTTACAGACCCCGTTCAGCAGAAGTCATACTGCTTAATCATCAGCTTTACACATTTGAATAACAACACGTCATGGACCCAACACTTTTGTATAAAAGGGGCCTGGATTCATGGAGTTGGCAGAGCAAGTTGAACCATCCACTTGGAACTACCTAAACCATCATCATGGGCAAGGTAATGGGATGCTTATCTAAAAATACATTTCTACACAGCAAAATACATCAAAAGTTGATGTTATCACTGATATTAACTATTTGGCTCCTAAACCATTACTTTTCTCTCCATTTCAGATTGTCTTTTACGAGGAGAAGAACTTCCAGGGTCGTTCCTATGAGTGCATGAGCGACTGCTCTGACATGTCCTCCTACCTGAGCAGGTGCCAGTCCTGCAGGGTTGAGAGCGGCTGCTTCATGACCTACGAGCGCCCCAACTACATGGGAAACCAGTTCTTCATGAGGAAGGGCGAGTACCAGGACATGCAGCGCATGATGAGCATGGGAATGATGTTCGACACCATCAGATCCTGCAGAATGATCCCCTTCGTAAGACACAATTTATACATCTCTTTGATTTTAATCAATTTCTTTGTCATAAATTGTGTTGCCTACTTACATCTTCCCTTTATGGTATTACAGCACAGAGGCCAGTTCAGGATGAGGATCCACGAGAAGGAGAACTTTGGTGGTCAGATGAATGAGCTGATGGACGACTGTGACAACATTCAGGAGCGTTACCGCATGAACGAGTGCCAGTCCTGCAACGTGATGGAGGGCCACTGGCTGATGTACGAGCAGCCCCAGTACAGAGGCAAGATGATGTACATGAGGCCTGGAGAGTACAAGAGCTTCAGAGACATGGGCATGAGCGGCCAGAGGTTCATGAGCATGAGGCGTATCACTGATATGTGCTAGACTTCTGTATTTGACTTAAGTAAATAAAAACAATGTGTAATTATTAACTATGTTTGTCAATCACTTCCTTTCTTTGTGTGAAATGTCCTTAGCTGTTAAAGTAACTAAATAACTACAACATCAATACAACAATCTACACTAAGTGTTGATAGTTGCTTTTACTTGAATTAATACTTTTTTAACCCATCCAAAATGTTATATGTTCAAATTAGATACCAATAACACAGAAAAGAAGAAACAATATAATTAAATATTAAAGATTTAGAATTTAAGAGAAACGGCCCAAATAATTCAAAGACATTAAAGGGCCCATGTCATGGCCATTTCCACTGATCATAATTACATTGTTGAGGTATACTAAAATAGATTTATACTGTGCAATTTTCCAAACTCACATTGGTTTCGCATACAGCATCTCTGTCAAGCATGTGTATTCAGCAGTATTCACTTTCTCCACTAAACGACTCGTTGGAGCTCTTGCCCCCCCCTCCCTGTGAGCCTAGTGTGCTCCGATTGGTCAGCTCGGCCACTCGTTCTGATTAGTCAACCACCAGAGAGGCTGCGCCCATGTCAGTGCTTTTCCCGGCTGCTCTCAGCGTAACATCAGTCTTATCATGGCGTCGGTACAGCGGTATATTTTATATACATATATATTTTTAACTGTTGTTATAGAAGAGTGTGACGGCCCCAGGGCCTTTGTCTTACGATGGGGTGGAGCTGAAGAGGCTAATCAGCACGATCACGGACACCTCCGGACACAGTCTCTCTCCAAAGCGGCTGCAGGAAGACTAACTCTGCGATCCTCTCAACCACCTATCTTTGCATTTACCACAATAAATGTGCCGTGGTTTTGTAAACTCGTGTATGTCTCCTTGTCTTTCCGTTGTGGCCTACGAGCTACTCTCATAACAAAGAGTAAGTTATTTTTACCCGTTATAAACTACTACTGTTTGATGAGAAATCAAATCATGGTTTGCTATATATGAATTCAGGGAAGAAAGGATAGGCCTACTAAGTATTTCCATTAAACTTTATTTTTAGAAATGTACAAAATGAACATAAATATACATATATACACACGGTATATCATTCATTCCTCCTCCTCGCATCTTGCCTGCGCACAGTCGGTGCGGTGCCTTTTAGCACCCTCAGTAGTAGTAGAATCCCTTCCCCGTCATGGATTGTCCGCCAGGATCTGGCTGGACGAAATCAAATGCAAATCACAAAATATTAGAGAAACTTAGTTGTTTTAGACTCGTTAGTAGTAGTTGTGTAATGAACAGCTTGCCTGCTAATATGCTAACCTAGCTTTGTTTACCTTGGTAGCTAACACGATATGAACGTTAGCTTGGAGGAAAGGCAACTATAATGCAGTGTAATAAAACTACTATGAACAAAAGCTAGTGGTTCATATTAGGCTAGCAATAACGTGTTTATAATTGCAATCGTATACGGGTATTCTGCTACCATACAATGTAACTTGCATGAATACATTGTTTTGCGCTAGCATACAGCTAGCCTCGTTAGCTACATGCAGTATATGTACGGTCACAATGTACGGTAAATCACAGTACAGTATACTGTATGAGTATTCCGTGTGTGTGACTGCAGACATTCTCCTGCCATGACAAACATGTAAGGCCATCTGCTGACATTGTAGTTGATATATTTAAACGCTAGCAACGTAGCATCACAAAAATGTTTTTCTGACCAAAACTAGCTCTAGCTCCGTGTGTTAGATCGCTACGCCAGCTATAATGTAATTACGTTTCGCGACTGACCGGCAAATCACCCGGAGTATACTGTCAATAGGTATTTTGTGTGTGAATGCAGACATTCTCCTGCTATGAGATACATGTATGCAAGGCCATCTGCTGATATTAGAGTTGATATATGGAAACTCTAGCAACTTAGTTAGCACAGTTAGCACTGTGTCAATGGCTTAGCAGTCCAACACAGTTTACACATTTAAACAGTCTTGTTTGATAAATACACAAATAACAATGCAAACTTACAGGTTGTATACCCAGATCTTCCCCTGCTCCAAACGGTCCAAACAAGCTGTGCATATCCGGCCTCAAACTGGGCAATGTTTTGGAAGCTTTCGTCTGTGAAATGCCGGTTCTTCGAACCTCTGGAGGAGGAACACGCCGCTGCTGGTGTGGCCATAGCTCTTCGGGATTGGTCCATTTCGTTCCGGGTACCGCATGACATCATGCGGTACCCGGAAGAATCAAATGGGCAGTGACGTATCTCCAACGAGGCGTTTTGGGGAGGTATTTTCTGTGTTAGAGTTTTACTCGCTACAGGGTGTACTTTGAGGGTTTTGACTCTGCACACCGTTTACATGCATGAAAACCTTCATAACACACAAGGGGACGGGTAATAACCGGAAAAGCATGACATGGGAGCTTTAATTGTTAGGACATCAACACCTAGCTTTTGTATTTTTTAACAAAGACAAGTCTCTTGTAAAGGTCCTTTGCTTTAAAATGAGTCCTAATGATGACTTCAAGATGTTATCTTTTACCATGTTGTTTGAACACATTACAAGGCTGTGTAATAAAACTGAAAAAACCCCATAATATAATCATAATTTTAGACATAATTTACATTCCCCCAAATGTTAATTCTATCTGTAAAACTTTATTAATAGAAGGTAATATTCCCAAATATGCTGCATGCATCATAAAACTGCCTCACCAAGCCTTATAACATTTATAATATTTAGCTTGTAATTAAAAATGAAAAGAAAATACTATAAAGTTGTTCTCAAACATTCCGTGGCCACTTTACTCTGGACAATTCAACAATTAAATAAAGTGGTAGTAAAGTTTTTTCCTAGTGCAAAAAATTATGACGGCAAGTGATTTTTTTACAAAGCAACATGGTTATTGTTCTGTCAATTAAAGACCAACAAAACAGAATGGCGTATCTTTCCCCATTGTTTGTCACAATGCAACTTTGATGAGCAAGCAAAGCTTTTCTTCATTCTCCTAGAATAATACATTGTAATTTTAATGAATTGTTTTGATAGTCAGCCCTTTTTAAATAGGAGGTGTGGATCCAAAATGTATACATATGTATACGTGTGATGGATCATAACCAATTCCATATTGTAGTGTCGGAAAAAAACGTATAATTAAACCTGAAAACAATATTCCTTTCAACAACACATATGTAAATAGCATATCATAGAATAGAAAGCCTTTATTGTCATTTTACAAAAATATACAATACGATTTTGTACTGCAACTTCAGAATCCGTGATATAAATCACTTACATAATCTAAAATTGTAATAATCACCCTTGGGAGCGCCATTAGGAAGTAGCGCCACAACAAATGATTATTTTCATTATTAATGTGAAAAGTACAAGGTGATGTCTTTATTTTTTGTCAGTCCTAAACCCAAAGATATTCTCTTAAATACAGTACCAGTCAAAAGTTTGGACACACCTTCTCATTCGAAGGTTTCTATTTATTTAAAGTATTTTATACATTGTAGATTAATACTGTAGACATCAAAACTATACAAGAACACATATGGAATTATCTAGTAAACAAAAAGGGTCAAAAAATCCAGAATATGATTTTTATTTTAGATTCTTCAATTAGCCCCATTTTGCCTTGATGACAGCTTTGCACACTCTTGGCTTCTCTCAGTTAGCTTCATGATGTAGTCCCCTGGAATGGTTTTCCAACCGTCTTGAAGAACTTCCCAGAGGAGCTGAGCACTTGTTGGCTGATTTTCTTTCACTCTGCGGTCCAACTGATCCCAAACCATCTCAATTGGGTTGAGGTCGGGTGATTGTGGGGGCCAGATCATCTGATGTAGCACTGATGTAGTCACTTTTCTTCTTAGTCAAATAGCCCTTACATAGCCTGGAGATTTGTTTGGGGTCATTGTCTTCTTGAAAAACAAATGACGGTCCCAGTAAGCGCAAACCAGATAGGATGCCATGGTGCTGCAAAATGTTGTGGTAGCCATGCTGGTTAAGTGTGCCTTGAATTTTGAATAAATCACCAACAGTGTCACTAGCAAAGCCCCCCCACACCATCACACTTCCTCCTCCATGCTTCACGGTGGGAACCACACATGCAGAAACCATCCGCTCACCCTCTCTGCGTCTCACAAAGACACAGAGGTTGGAACCAAAAATCAGACCAAAGTACAGATTTCCACCGGTCTAATGTCCATTCCTTGTGTCACTTGGCCAAAACAATTCTCTTCTTCTTGTTGTTCATCGTCAGTAGTGGCTTCTTTGCAGCAATTGGACCATGAAGGCCTGATTCACTACTCTGATGTATTTATCCTCTGCAGCAGAGGTAACTCTTGCTCTTCCTTTCCCGGGGAGGGGGGTCCTCATGAGAGCCAGTTTCATCATAGCGTTCGATGGTTTTTGCGACTGCACTTGAGGATACTTTCAAAGTTCTTGACATTTTCCGGATCGACTGGCCTTCATTTCTTAAAGTGATGATGGACGGTCGTTTCTCTTTACTGAGTTGAGTCGTTCTTGCCATAATATGGATTACAACAGTCGTCAAATAGGGGCTATCCACTGTGCACTAACCCTACCTCTGCACAACACAACTGATGGTCTCAAACACATTAAGAAGGCAAGTAATTCCACAAATTGACAAGGCACACGTGTTAATTGAAAACCATTCCAGGTGACTACCTCATGAAGCTGACTGAGAGAAGCCAAGAGTGTACAAAGCTGTCATCAAGGCAAAAGGGGGCTACTCTGAAGAATCTAAAATAAAAATCATATTCTTGATTTTTTAACACTTTTTGTTTACTAGATAATTCCATATATGTGACCTGCTCCATCGAAATCAGTCGCATTGACCCGAAGACACATTTTGAGTTGTATACACTGTTGGGAAGAGGAGATTCCTAGCTTTCTAATGATATCAGGATTGTTGTTCTACTCCGAATATTAAGCAAAATATGTGACATTACAGTATATAATGACTGTCACTGAGTCATCATTTTGAGAAAAAGGCCTTCAAAGTTTCCTCTTCTCTGG